CTGCTAAAATTTTTTTTCCCACATTGTCGGTTGTCTCTTAGCTCTGTTGGTGGTTTCTCTTGCAGTGCAGAAGCTTTTTAATATGATGAGATCCCAGTTGTTGATTCTTTGTGCTAGTTCCCATTCTACTGAGGTTTTGTTCATAAAGTCTTTTCCTATGCCAAGTCTTCAAGAGTTCTACCTAACTTATCTTCCAGCAAGTTTAGTGTTTCTGTTTTAATATTTAGATCTTTAATCCACTTCGATCTTAGTTTAGGGCAGGGTGATAGATATGGGTCTAGTTTTAATCTTTGGCATGTTGAAATCCAGTTTTTCCAACACTGTTTATTAAATAGGCTATCTTTCCTCCAATGAGGGTGGTTGGCTCCTTTGTCAAAGATGAGGTGGCTGAGTACGTCTGGAGTTGTTTCTGCATCTTCTAACCTATTCCACTGATCCTTGGGTCTGTTTCTTTGCCAGTATCATCTGTTTTTATCACAGTAGCTTTGTAGTATAGTTTCAAGTTGGGGATTGTAATGCCTTCTGTTCACAGGTGATTTTTATAAACAGCATCAGTTGGTGAAAAGCTTGCAGTGACCAGCAAGTGCTCATTTCCTTGCTATTGTTGGGGGCTGCTTTCCTGCCTTGGAGACAGAGGTGAAGAGAGGCCACCGAGCTCTTAAGGCCCAGGGTGCTAGGATATTTAACTTTTGGACCTTTACAGATCAAGTGTATGGTTGGATTCCTCTGCAGGTCTTTTTTCCATTTCCGATGCTGCTATGAAGCATTAGTTTAGGCGTCATTTTGCACGTGGATTTCTGTAGAGTGAGTGCCCATGACAGAAATGCAGTGTTTCCGTGCCGAATCTGTCATTTTGCTAGGGGTCACTGAGCGAGAAGCCGAGCCCATTCACACTCTGTGCCAACACAACGCATGCCCGGGCCTAGCGCGGACGACTCCCTCCTTGCCCATCTGATCAGTGAAACATGGCACTCGCTAGAGTCTTCCTTCTCGGATGAGGAATAAGCAGCTGCGTCTTTGCAGATGTCTAAAACTTTTTCCTGGTCCTGGGGGTTGAATCCAGGGCCTTCACACTGAGTCCCCCCATTTATGTGTGGGGGGTATTGAACTTAGGGCCTCATGTACTCTAGACAAGGACTCGAACTTGCAATTCTCTTGCCTCAACCTGTCACGACCGCTAGGATTACAGGCGTGAATCATCCTGCCCGGCTTGAAGTCTAAAATTTAATCTTCCTAAGTTTTTTTTCTGCCTGGTCCATTCGCAGGCCCGGCAGCGGCCGCCCAGGGACTCGAGCTGCGGGGCGTGGCCGGTGAGAGGGGACCCCGTGCTCCCTCTGCGTGCCGGGCCGCAGAGAGCCCCGCCCTGTCCATTCCCGCCCACGGGGCGGAGCTCGCGGCCAGTGGGAGGTGCTGAGCGGCCCGATTTATTCCGGGCCGGGCGCACAGGCGGCAAGGACCCGCGCCGGCCACAGCATGCAGGAACCCCGCGTGCTGGCCGCGCTCTGCGGCGCGCTGCTCTGCGCCTCCGGCCTCCTGGCCGCCTCGGGTGAGTCGCTGTCGCTATCGCCGTCGCCGCCCTCTCCGCCGAGCCGGGCTCCCGCCCCCGTGCGGACAAACTCGGGCGCCGCGCCGAGGACCCGCGCAGGGCGCTTCCCGGCTGCGCCCAGTGGGTGAGCGCCCAGCGGCTCCGGTCCCGCGCGGGGCCCTGGGCGGGGACAGCTGCCGCCGCGCCGGGCGGGACGCGGGCACTGGGTTACAGCCCGGCCGCCCCCAGGATGGGGCTTACACAGAACAAAGGAATCCGCTGTGTCTGCCTCTCTTTTGCCGTCTGTAGAATGAGGCCATGGATCTGCATCCGACGCTGCCTGCGCCAGAATTCCTGGACTCATGCGGGACTGCGTCTCCTCCCACCGCTTTCCCCGCAGCTCCCCCCGGAGTTGCCTGCTGCGCCCCGCTTTGGACTTACTTTTTTCTTTTTGGCGGTATTGGGGATTGAACCCAAGGGTTTCATGCTGAGCTTCATTCCTAGCCCCCTTTAATTTTTTTTTTTTTTTTTGAGATAAGTTCTCGCCAAGTTGTTAAATTGCTGGGCTCGAATTTGGGATCCTCCTGCTTCAGCCTCCCAGAATACTGAGATTACAGGCATGCGCCACCGCTGCCCAGCAGTGCTTTGGACTTTTGCGCCCCCAGTCGTCTGTGTTTGACCAGATAAAAGAAAAGCCGCTGAGGCGGTGGGACTGACTGGCTGGCTGGAGGGCCGGGGAGCTATTGAAAAAGGGCCGCCCTTGGTGCGGGGGCTCCGCCTCCCTCCCTCCTGTGGCCTTGGCTGCAGGCGGTATCTTTCCTGGTCCTCCTCCCCCGCCGAGGCCCCAGGGACTGTGGGGCCTCTGGCAGGCTGCTCCGCAGGATGCTGCACTCCCTTCGCTGTCGGGTGACGGCAAGGGCTTCTCAGGCAGTCCCCCATCATCTCATAGGAATGGGGTCTACTGAGGCAAGGAGGTCCCAGCTGGGTTCCAGCTCCGCTGTCCTGTGAAATATCTGCCACCCGGGCTGGAGCTGAAGCCTCCTGTACACCCCAGCCACCCGGAAAGATGTCCAGGTCTTCGCAGCGCCCCCCCTCCCCCCCAACCTGCGGCCTGGCCAGAGGCCCCGGTTGGTGGTTCCCCTGGAGCCGGACCCTGAAAGCCAACCCTGGGCGAGTTTGTAGACGGCGATTTGGCTCTTCCCGGGAGGAGGCACCAGGGCCACCTTAGACAGTGACCCCGCCTTTCCCCTTTGCCCCCCCCCCCCCGCCCCCAGCCGCACCGGGAGGGTGTGGCTGGGAGGGGAGGCCTTGGAGCCCAGGCTCCTGGTCCTAGCAGTGCCCTCCTCCCGCTGCCGGGTCAGAGGCGGGATTAACCTGCTATTTAAAGCCAGTGACTAATAGCTCTTTGGGAGCTGCCTGAGCTCCCTGGGCTCCGCTGAGGAGGCCAAGCTGATCACGCTAAGGGCCTCCCGCCTGGGCTCCCAGGGCCTTGGGACTGCAGGAGGGCCGTTGGCTCAGGCAGATGAGTCAGGGGGAGAAGAGTTTTCTCTGGGTCAACGCTAATGGCCAGTTTGGGTGGGGGACACATACAGTCCTTTAAATCCAACCCAGCCTGCTCCTGTGTTCTCTGGAGGGGTTGAGTGCACATCTGTCACCTAGGGCCCCACCTGGGAGCCATGATGGCCTCCCCAGCCCTCCTGCCACCTCCTTGGCCGTCGCCCCACAGTCTCTCAAATGTAGCCTGCTTCTCACCCCTCTGCCCTGACTCCTTCCCTCGGCTTTCATCCAGGGGGCTCAGCCTGCAGCCCTACGCCCTTCTCACCTTGGGGAGCCCATCCAGATCTGCACCCACTGGGGCGCCTCACCTCCTCCTTCCCAGCATGGAACAGGCTTCCCACTCCCACCTCACATTGAAACTCTGTGTGTGTGTGTGTGTGTGTGTGTGTGTGTGTGTGTGTGTGTGCGCGCGCGCGCGCGTTTTCCTGCTGGACTGTACTGGAGAGGTTGGAGGAAGGGTAAAAGCTACTGATCTGCTGCATACAAACTCCAAACTTCTCTTTTTTTGGTACTGAGGACCAAACCCAAGGCCTTTGCACTGAGTTACCTTCCCAGCCCTTTAAAAAATTTTTTTCGTTTTCATTTTGAGACAGGGTCTCCCTAAGTTCAGTCTGGGCTCAAACTTGCGATTTTCCTGTTTCAATTCCCCATGCACTGGAGTTACAGGTGTGTGCCACTATGCCTGAGAGAAACTTGTCATTTTTAAGGTCCCTCCTAGTCTAGCCCACCCTGCTCTTCCGCCACATCTTATTCTCCAACATCGTATACCCTCAGTGCTTCAGCTTTTCTCTAGAGTGCTCTTCCCTAAAGCCCCAGTCTGCCTCTGACCAGATTGTCTTTTAGACCCAGCTCAAATGTCCCCTCGCTTGTGAACCTTCCACTCCCTGGCAGGATCCCATGCCAGAGGATCAGTTCAGTTCCTGGCCTCCTCTTTCCCACTGGTCCCCCTGCACCTCACTTCCATTTCAGAGCCCAGCATACACGTGGCAGTTGGCCTTCTACATGTTTATTGAGTATTTGAAGCGGGGTTGCTGTTGCAGGTGACTTCTGTGACTCCAGCATGTGCCTGAATGGTGGGACCTGCTTGTTGGGCCAGGACAGTGTCTCCTCTTACTGCCTCTGCCCTGAGGGCTTCACTGGCCTCCTTTGCAATGAGACTGAGAAAGGTAAAGGGCCCTGCAGGGGCCTGGCCTGCTGCGTCAACCTCCAGCCTCTCTCTTCTTGGGTGGGTGGTGGTCCCCACCTCTCCCTATGGCAGCCAATGTCCCCCTGGAAACTCCCAGGCCACTTGGAAATCTGGGCAGATTCCATATTTGCTGTATTTGGGCAGATTTGCCTACTCATGTGCCTGCTGGCTTCAGCACAAGCTGCGCCAGGCGACTGGAGGAGGGGACATCGCGGCAAGGGTGGGCTGAGGGTCTTTCTGTGCTAGGCCCAGCTGCCACTTCTGATCATCTGCCCATCTTCCCTGCCTCTTGTCCCCAGGTCCCTGTTCCCCAAACCCTTGCTACCACAATGCTGAGTGCCAGGTGGTTGACAGCTCCCACCGAGGGGATGTGTTCACCCCGTATGTCTGTGACTGTCCTCGGGGATACGCGGGCATCCACTGCGAGACGAGTGAGTTCCCGGGTGCTGCTTGGCCCAGGCTGTGGGCTGCTCCTATTCCTTGGGGAGACATCGAGGCAAGGCCAGAGCCTCAGTGAAGGGGGAAAGGGTCGGGCTGTCCCTTCTTTTGGCCTGGCCCTTTCTCCTGGGACCGCGGGCCAGGCCTGATGTCGCTGCTGGGAGCGAGGGTTGTGGTGACCCTGGCGGTTGTGGGAGGCCTGTTTCCTGAGTCAGCGTGAGCCACACACAGTATTAGGGTTAATTCTTGGGATTTCCTGCCAATCAGGGCAAATAAACACATTCTTAATCTTTTGGGATCCAGGAGTTCAGTAAATCAGGTTTGGCCCAAGTTTGACCTATGCCCTTGTCACAGAGGTTAGGGGGGAGAGGGGGAGGCCTGGGCAGGCTGGTTTGTCCCCTCCAGTCAGGTGGCCAGAGGCCCAGCTTGTGCAGAGGGCTGAGCCCCCACTTGCTCAGTTATCCACTTGGCCGCAGGATGGTCCGAGAGGGTGCCCAGACGGGGCCCCCACCCTGTGCCCCACTGCCTCAGGACTCTACCTGCCCCGCCGGTGCAGGGGGTGTGTTGTGCCCAGGATGGGTGGGTGAGGGGTACAGGTTCCTGCTGCCCAGCAGGTCAGCAGCTGAGTGCCTGGGGCTGAGGGTAGGCAGCATCTGTCCTCCAGACAGATGTGGGCTGGGGCTGGGAGAGCACGCAGGGAGCCCAAGATGCCCTGGGCTCAGAGGAGGCCGGGACTGAAGCCAGAGGTGTTTGAGCCTGGGCGGCGGAGGAGGGGGCGGGGTTGTTAAGGCAGACAGAGCCAGGGCTGGTAATTACTGTGCTGGGTGCTGAGGTAACTACAGGTCTAGGTCTGCCTGTGTGGAATTACTGCCCCCCCTTTGGTTGCTGAGGATGGAACCCAGGGCCTTTGCACTGAGCTACATTTCCAGCCCTTTGTGTTTTTTGTTTGTTTTTTAAGACAGGGTCTCAGTAAGTTGCTTAATTACTGAGGGTGGGCTCCAACTTTCAGTCCTCCTGCCTCAGCCTCCCAGAGTCCTGGGATTTGCAGGCATGCGCCACCACACCTGACTAATCTGGCCTTCTTCGAACTTCTTGGCCTGGGGTCTTCCCAGCTGGATATGGTCATACCTGAGACACGAGATGGGAGGTGACCTCGTGGGCCAGGGGAGCCCCACAGAGCCCTTGGCAGCCCCTCCTTGATTGTCCTGTGATGTTTCCCTAGAGCCAACACTGAGGTCACACAACGGGTTCCTCGGGGTGGCCCTGGGGGGGCCATGAGGATGGTCCTGGAGGCAGAGCCAGGTCGCTGGCTGTGCCTGATCTCAGGCGCCTGGCCACTGAGCAAGACACAGTGCTGGCCCTGAGCTCAGCATCAGCTGGGACTCTGGGTCGGGACGCTGGGTCTCTGTGTCCTCACCCTGGCATGTGAGCAGGAGAGGCCCGGCCTGCTGGGGGTATGGTGGCTGTCCCGAGTCCTTGGTACCATGTTGCCGGGGTGACGAGGGTGATGGGCGGCTGGTGGGTGAGGACCCTTGGGTGGTGCAGAGGGCACAAGGGAGAATAGAAAGGTGTTCCTGCCTCACCCAGAAACTCCTGCTGGGGTGTTCTAGAACACCAGGCAGGTTCACGTATCGCTGTGTTCCATTCTTGATTGTCTAAAAGCCACCCTCCTGGGAACACCGAGGAAGAGTGTCACACTGGTGTCCCTCCCACAGTCCACCCACACCTGGCTGCTGCCGCCGAAAGCAGAGCATGTGCCACAGCCTGGGGGACACTCCCTGCCAGACACATCTGTCCCGGCTGGGTCTCTGGCAGCGCTGGGGCCCAGGCCCCCTCTCCCTCTTGGCACTGCCCTCTGCTCCGAGTTAGCGTCTGAGGTGCCCTCTGGGGGCGCACCCTCTGTGTCCTTGTGTTGTCCTCTGTCCCTGACTGGCCCCATCTTCCCTGCAGACTGCATCAGGGGGCTGGGCATGGAGGGGGGCTCCATCGCTGACTCGCAAATCTCCGCCTCGTCCCTATACTTGGGCTTCATGGGTTTGCAGCGCTGGGCTCCGGAGCTGGCCCGGCTGCACCGCACGGGCATTGTCAATGCCTGGACGGCCAGCAACTATGACAGAAAGCCCTGGATCCAGGTTCGGAGGGGACACTTGTGGCCAGGGTGGGGAGGGGCAGTGGTAAGAGGAATGTGCCTATGTCTGGGGGGTTGTAGCCAGGCCCAGACAGGTGACAGGTGGCTGTGCTGAAGGTCTGATGGTGGAGCAGCCTTGGGGACCTGGCGGAGGCGGGGGTGGGGCAGTGGGTGGGAGAGGAGGACAAGGCCTTGGGCCCTCCCCTGGGGCCAGCGGGCCTGAATCTTGGCGACGAGGTGCTGTCCTCCTTGTCCTGGTGCAGGTGAACCTCCTTCGGAAGATGCGGGTGTCAGGCGTGGTGACGCAGGGCGCCAGCCGCGCAGGCAGTGCCGAGTACGTGAAGACCTTCAGAGTGGCCTACAGCCTCGATGGACGCAAGTTCCACTTCATCCAGGATGGAGAGGGCTCTGGGGACAAGGTGGGGCTCATTGGGGTTCCAGAGAGGGGCTAGGCTCAGCACCCCATAGAGTTCTAGCGTAGGCGGAAGCAAGGGCACCCTGGGTGATTGGATGGTAGGTGCTGCTTAGTGTCTAGAGATGGATCAAACCATTGTATCCACGTTCTGTGGTTAGAAGTCATAGCCCCACTTTATAGATGAGAATAGAGAATCCCAAAATGGTGCCATGACCTGCCAGGCGGAGTAATGTTGGTGGAGCTGGACTTCATTCTTAACGTTCAGGGTTCAGAATGTATATAGGGTTCAGAACATTCAGAGTTTGCTGTGTACAGTTGTGCAGATTGTACACAGGTCAAGAATGTCATTACTAAGTGGACACCATTCACAATACAGACACAATACATCATGGTTCTAGATTTTGGAAAATTATCCTAATAAAGTGTCATGTAGAAGGAGTGCCTTTTCCTAGTATGCACAGAGGTACTTCTAGGTTATGGGTAGCCTTGCACAAAATGTGGAGGGATTTATATCCGGTTCCCTCAATGACCAAGGAAGTTGCCGAAGGAGAATCTGTACTGGGGGCGGGGGGCACCGGGGAAGGGCTGTTTGAGCCCCTGCAGGCTCTGCCGAGTCCTCACTGTCCAACTGTCCAGCCTGTCTGCCCACGCTGACCGCAGTCCCGGCCCTCCCTGCTAGGTGTTCGAGGGTAACATGAACAACAGCGGCCTGAAGCTCAACCTGTTCAGCACCCCGCTGGAGGTCCAGTATGTGAGGCTGTACCCCGTGGCCTGCCACAGGGGCTGCACCCTGCGCTTTGAGCTCGTGGGCTGTGAACTGAACGGTGAGTGTGGAGGCTGCGGCCAGCTCGGGGGTAGCCTTCTCTGCTCCCTCTTTATTGAGCTGGGCAGGGCCAGCATCAAGCCCCAGGGACCTGGGTCAAACCGGAAAGGGACATCAGAAGGTCACCTGTCTGGGTATGTGCTGTCTGCCACTCCATGGCTCTGGATGCTCTGGTTAGTCAAGAGAAAACTCCAGTTTCCAAAGTACTTTCACCCAGCCTGGTCGGGCCCTGGTGACTCTAGAACACAGGTGCTGGGGAAATCTTGATGAGTGGCTGGATGAAGGAAGGAGGGAAGTGGCACCCAGGTACATCGTGGAGCAGGGTTACACAGCTGCAGTATAACACAGGGCGGGGAGCCTGGGAGCCTAGGGCTTCTTGGATTACAGGATAGGAGCTTTTGCTTCCTACTGCCCTATCCAGAGAGAGTCCTAAATGGAGAGATGGGAGGAACCAGAAGGGAGCAGGCTTCTGCTGAGCCAGCAAACACCATTGGAGAGGTTGGAGTGCATGGTTTGTGCTGATAGATGCCACCTTCAGGTCTGAATATTTCGGTTTTTTTTAAAGTCGCAGCGCCACCTTCTGGCCCTTGGTAGAACTGCATATATCCGGCAGCCAGGCCGAGGAAAAAGGTGGCGTGGTCACTGCCTGCTTTGTCGAGCTCCACCCCCTTCCCTTCTGTGGCCCCTCTTCCCGTTACCTGGTTTCACATACCATCCAGAACCACTTGGACCTGGGTCTTGTGGCTTTCTGGGTTTCATCTTTTGTGTGTGTGCGTTGCTGGGGATGAGCTGAGGGCTTCATGCATGCCGGGTGAGCACTCTACTGCTGAGCTACACCTGTAGTCCTCCTGTGCCTGTCTTTCTCTCTCCTTTCTTTTGTGATACTGGGGATTGAACCCAGAGCCTTTGCACTGAGCCGCATTCCCAGCCTTTTTAATTTTTTTATTCAGGGTCTCACTAAATTGCTACGTTGCCTAGGCTGGAGTTGCACTTGTGACCCTACTGCCTCAGGCTCCCAGAGTGCTGGGATTACAGGAGTGCAGTGCTGCACTCTATCTCTGTTTGACACGCATCCTCTCCCAGGCCCACTGCCTTTCGAGCCATGTTGTTTAAGTGGGGACTGAAAGGCTTTGCCTTCTGCTAGAAGGAAATTTAGGTAACGGGTGAGAGAGAGTCAAGTCTGTGGCCTCTCCTTGGGGCCCTGCCCCTCACTGTCTCGACCTGAGGCCTTTGTGCTTAAAGTTGCCTGTGTGATCACTGCTGGCTCCGCTCAAGGCCCTGAGATCGAGCCTCCCCTGTGGGCGGTGAGGTTGCCTTGCCTCCCAGGGACAGGAGAGGACAGGGTGTGCATGAGCACAGGGGTGCCTGTGCCTGCAGCAGCACCCAGGACATCGGCGTGGGTAGGAGCTAAGGAGGTGTGGCTAGAGTAGGATGCAGGGTGCCTGGGCCCCAGGGCTCTGACTTCTCTAACTCCTGGGTGCTGGAGGGCAGGGGTGGCAGAGCCTTTCCCAGCAGGCCTGCAAGTCCTGTGCTTCCTGCCTCAGCCTCCGTGTTCTCATCTGTAGCATGGGTGACTCATAGCTGTACCACTCAGGTTTTCCTGGGGCTGAAGTAGCAACTGAGGTCAGCACTGGGCAGACAGTAGTTGTCTTATTGTCTGTGTGGTGCGGCTGTTGGTGGTGCGCAGGTGCGAGGGAGGGCACTGTCCATCTCGTGGGCTGGGTCCTGGAGGAGGGCGGGAGGTAGTGTGGCGGGGTGCCCTGGTGTCCGAGGAGATGAGCAGCAGGAGGTCTTGTGTGGTCTTCGAGGCACCGGTCAGGGTGAGGGGGCCGAGGCCGCCAGGCTGCATGAGGAGAGAGCAGGACAGGCGGTGGCAGGTGGGGTATTTGGATGGAGCTTCTTTCTCTTGTTCATGAGGATGACAGCCTGGGTATGGTGGCAGCACCTGTAGCCCCAGCTACCTGGGAGGCTGAGGCAGGAGAATTGCTTGAGCCCAGGAGTTCAAAGCCAGTCTGGGAACCTTGAGGCTCTGTCTCAAAAAAAGTTCAGGGGCAGATCAGGATCCACACTCTTTCCACTCTTGCCCCTTCATGGATTTGTGCTCCCGCCCAGGGAGCTGCAGATCTCAGATGGGGTGATGATCCCCCTTGCCAGCAGGATGCTCCGAACCCCTGGGCCTGAAGGATGGCACCATCCCCGACAGGCAGATCACAGCCTCCAGCAGCTATAAGATGTGGGGCCTTCGAGCCTTCAGCTGGTCGCCCTTCTTCGCGAGGCTGGACAATCAGGGCAAGTTCAACGCCTGGACAGCACAGAGCAACTCTCCCAATGCCTCTGAGTGGCTGCAGGTGGGCATCCTGGGGGGCAGGTGGGGTGACCGCACCCGTGACCTCTGTCTGTCCACCCGGCCAGGCTTCTGCTCCCGGGAGATGCAGGCCTTGTTTTTCTTTGGGTTTCCTTGCTCCTCTTCCCACGCACCCTACCTTTCTCCGTTTGCAGGTGGGAAAAGGGTGTGTGTGTGTGTGTGTGTGTGTGTGTGTGTGTGTGTGTGATTTAAATACTATCTTGAAAATCAACTACTCATGTATTTCATGTATTTTCCTTGGACACTGAACCCAGGAATCTCAGGGCCTCCTCCCCCTAACTTGAGCACAGAGCTGATGCCCTCTGACTTGGTGGGACTAAAATACAAGAATGATGGAACCAGAGCCCGTGTTATAGATGGGGAAACTGAGTCCCCTGGCTGGCAGCGAGTGGGGCTTGCAGGCTGGATGGTGGGACTCTGTCCCAGGCTGGTGGGGTGGGGGCCTGAGGTGCCCAGGTGGGGTGGGTTCCATGCCAAACTGCCCGTCTTGGGAGCCCCCAGGACTGATGCAAGGGACCTCAAAGCAGTCTGTCCCACTGCAGGCTGTGGCCTCTCCCTCCCGTCCCTGTCCCATCCTACCGTGGTGCCCGGCTGAGTCAGGGCTGGGTGTGGAGTTGGCAGGGCCAGACTGAAGTAGGAACTGTACCACAGCGAAGTGCCCGCTGCTGCATGCGGCCAAGGGCGTGTTATTCTTTGTGCCCGTTCTATAGATTAGGCCGCTGAGGGCCAGGCAAGGAAGTAGGGGTCCCTAGGGAGCTCCCCGGGGCACCTGCCTCCTTCCACCTTCCCAGTGGTCCCGGCAAGGGACACATGGTGGTGTCTCCTGTAGGTTGACCTGGGCTCCCAGAAGCAGGTGACGGGGATCATCACCCAAGGCGCCCGTGACTTTGGCCACATCCAGTACGTGGCTTCCTACAAGGTGGCCTACAGCAACAATGGTGTCAACTGGGTTGAGTACAAGGAGCCAGGGGCTGTGGACAGCAAGGTGGGTGTCTGTCACCCTCTATTCGCTACTTGGGAGCGGCGGTGGGGGTCTGGCCCTGGGGGCTTGAGGGGAGGGGCTGACTCTGGGGTGACCCCACACCCTCCCTGCCTCCAGATCTTCCAAGGCAACTTGGACAACAACTCCCACAAGAAGAATGTGTTTGAGACGCCCTTCTTGGCTCGCTATGTGCGCGTGCTGCCTGTGTCCTGGCAAAACCGCATCACCCTGCGCCTGGAGCTGCTGGGCTGCTAGCATTTGCCCCGCAGGTCAGACCTGAGGGACCTAAGTGACCACAGGGCTGCCTCTCCACACCCTGCCTCCTGCCTGCTGCAGCCCCTTGTTCCCCTTCGGGCCTTAGAGGAGGCACCCAAGGCTGCCATCGTCCCTCCCCTTTCCTTCCAGCTCTACAGGCCTCCCCTTCCCAGGGCCTTCGAGGGTCGGTCTGGGATTCACTGGGATGCACGCTGAGTCAGGTGTGTGGCTTTTCGGCACCTCCACGGATCCCAGGCCCCCAGCTCTGGGTTGACTCTAGAGGGGCCTCTGGGCTTCCCAAGCCCCTTGCTGCAGCACACCACATTCCCGAGTCCCCAGATGGAGGCCCGTGTCCCCAGACAGCAGAGTCCTCCCACCCCCCAGGTGCCGGGCCAGCGATTGCAGCCCGGGGCAGATGCTGCCAGCCAGCTCTGCGCCTCCCCGACACGTCTCCTTATCTCGCCAGAGACCCCTCTTGACCCTGTCCCTAGGAAGAAGACGGAGGGGGTGCTGGGTCTGTGGAGAGACAGGAGACTGGAGCCAGCCTGGCGGTGAGCGGGAGGCTGGCTGGGTGGGCAGGGGTCTCTGTGCTGTCCCCTCACCCAGGCCACGGGCAGCTTCCCAAATATATTTGTATTCACCACTGGAATCGGCTGTGCTTCCTCATTGCTCGCCATCGCTCTTCCCAGGGGCACTTACTGCATTCTGGCCCCCACCTCCACCTGGATTCTCCGGTTACCTGTCCAGCTGCATAGAGAGCAGGAGGTGGGACACTGGGGGCGGTGCTGACCCACCTCTTCCCCTCCTTTTCCTTCTCCATCTCCATCCCTGTCTGGCTTGGCCATAGCTGCTGCTTGGTGCGAGGCCAGGGAGTGCCTGGCACTGAGTCTGTCTCCTGGCTTGCCTCTGTCTCCTTCCCATGCCAGGAAGACCGGCAGCCACTGCGGGCTTCCCCTCCAGCAATTTCCCCTTTCTCCGCCACCGGAGCACTGGGCTGCAGAAACTGTTAGGAGCCTGCAGAGCCTGGGCTGCTTCCAGAGCTGGGGCAGGCAGGCCTGGTGAGGGCAGTGTGGGGAGGGAGGAGCGGATGGGGTACAGCTGGGTGGCCACGGGGCCTCCTGGCCCGGCACACAGGTTCTGGGGAGGCTGCTGCCCTGTGTGCTCCGGGGCTGGCAGGAAAGGGGTCCTTTCTCCGCCTCCCCTGTACAGGGGCTGTCCAGAAGCTGCCAGAGCCCTGGTGAGCCAGGAAGAGGGCAGCAGGCAGGAGGCACTGACTAGATGTGAAACGGGCCAGTGAGACGCCTTTCTTTCCCTTCCCCTCCCCACTCCTCTCTACTTTTCTTTTCTATATATTCTGGAGCCCAGGGCCCTCACACTGAGCCCTTCTTTATTTTGAGACAGGGTCTTGCTAAGTCGCCCAGGCTAAGCTCACACGTGCCCTCCTGAGATCACAGGTGTGTGCCACACCAGCTTCCTCGTGTTTGAGGTTCTGGGGCTGGAGCTCAAGGTCTCCACCTGCCAAGCAAGTGCTTTGTGGCTGAAGTCCACGACCAGCCCAGCCCACCTGTGTTTGCAAGATGCATTGTCTTGACCAAGCTCTGGGAGCCAGACTGAGACAGCACAGGCTGCCTCTCGGCAGCAGGAGGTCAGCCACGTGGCCACCAGCGGGTGGGTGGGGCTGTGCTGGAACCATATCAGGGAAACCAGTCTGGAGGTGGCTCCTTCCAGAGAGGCGCCTGTTGCCAGGGCTTCTCACTGGCGGGGACAGAAGGAAAGGCCTGGGCAGTGGTTGCCATATGAACTGGGGGGCTGGACACCTCACCCGGGGCAGCTGTGTGGTTCGGCTTTGGAGTCTTTCTGGGGTTTCTGGCCTCTGGACTTCCCCAGCCCTGCTCTGGCCTCCCCTGGGGAGCAGCGTCTTTCCAGATGTCTGCTCGGGATGCTTTTGCTTCCCAGTGACCCACTGTAGGTTGAACCTTGTGGGACCCAGGAGCCCTCTTTGCAGAAGGGGAAACTGAGCCTCACTCCCATCTCGTAGCTGGCCCACCTTCACCACATCGGGTACTTTTGTACGCAGTCCTTTTTGGCTAGCCAGGCAGCGTGATGGACAGTGGTCACGAGGCTCTTGCTTGGCTTGGAAGACAGGTGACCTCTTATTCTGTCTTTCTCTCATCTTTGTAGGCTTCTAACGCCCCCTCCTGGGCCCTGCACTGGGGTCCCCTCAATTGGCTCCTCCTTGATCAGTCTCTTCCATTTCCAGGCTGTGACTTAATGTTGCCTCTGCAAATTCGCTTTTGCTCCCTGACCGCAGCCTGGAGCCAGCGTTCATTCTCCCCACCTGGCCCAGGGGACTTACAGTGACAAAGCTGCTGCTCCTGCTGTCCCCCCACCCTGTGGCTATTCCCACTGGAACCTGTTCCCCTGCCTCTCTTTGGAACCCAGGCTCCTTTCTGTTCCAGGTTTAAATGGTCAGGACTCAAAGCCTCAAGTCAGACAACAGGGGTTCAAATCCTGCCTCAGAGTAACCTTGGGGAATGCACTCAACCCCTGGTTCTCAGTTCATCCGACTCCTTGGCCTGGCCAGGACTAAGGGAGAGAAGACACAGAAGCACCAATGCTGAGTCTGGCCCACTGGAGGCCACCAGAACTCTGGCTATTGTCAGAGTTTCCTGATTAGCGCTTGCGCAGGTGTCTTTCCCCTCCCCTCTATCCTGCGTAGGATCAGACTTCTCTTTCCCTGCAGAGGAACCTTCATGGGCTCCCTTTCGCCCATATGCCTGGCGCTCAGCTTTAGGAGCAGTTTACTGTCTAGTTCACCACTGCAGCCCTCTGCACTCTCACTTGATAAGTGCAGGCACACACGGGTGCACACACGTGCGTGTGCACACACGCACTGTCCTGAGTTGTGTAAGGAAGAGGCTCTGGGCCCTGTAACTCTGAGGCCCTCTCCCAAGACGCTGACTGACTCCCGTAGGCTTCTCTGCTGAGGAGACAAGGACGGTGGTGGTGGTGGTGATGGAGGCTGTCCGTCTGGCCGGGGAAAGAAAACACCCTGTCGAAACAGATGCCAGAATCCTAAGGGAGGCCCCACCTCTGGTGGTCCTTGGCAGAAGCCTGACTGCCCCTTGGGCTGCTGGGGGTGTCCCATCCTTCCCTCCCTGCCCCCACCCAGGCCTCCCCTTCAAGCCAGCTTACTAGAGAGTCTCCTGCGTGCCAAGCCCGAGTTAGCCCAGCGACCATTTCCCCAGGAGGATGTCCGCACCGCCTCGCTCTCCCTGGGGCGCAGGCCTTCGGAACTCTTCCTGCCCTCTTCTAAACGGGAGCAGCCATAGCCCACCCACAGAGTACTGGAAAGGAGCTTCCCTGCTCAGTCCGACTGTTTTTGGTAAACCAGGGTGTTCTTATGCCCCTCACCCCCCAAACGCTCCCCTCCCACCTGCGTCTGGGCTCCCACCCAGACACTCCCTGGGTGGCTTCGGGGTGGTCCCCAGCCCGCCCAGAGGCCGCTCAGGTCCGAACCACCTCCTCCCCTGGGCCTCAGCCCTGGGAGGGAAAGGGGCGTGTGTTTCTTTAAGGGGCTGGCCTGGCGGGAGCGCGGGGCTTGCCCGGAGCTTCCCTCCAGGCCATTCAAGATCCCCAAGTCGTCCTCGCGCTTGGGCCCGGGCAGCCTCTGACCAGGACAGCCGTCGAGGAACCAGCTGGGGACGGTACTTGGCTCGGGGGTCTGGGCTCCTGGGGCGTGCAGATTCTTCCTTTCCTCCTTGGGTCTCCGGGGCAGGGCTGGGGGTCGGGGAACTGGGTCCTGCGGAGCCGGGGCTGCACTCCACTGTGATCTCCCACCGGGGCGCCCTGGGCGCGTCGAGTGTGAGCGACACGGAGCGCGGGCAGCCTCGCGCCGGTTCCTGTGATGCAGCTCGGGGAGCCCTGGAGATCCCCGCTGGGCTAAACCCTTCCCCCTGGGCAGCCTGGTTCCCTCCGTGTCGTCCCCGCAGCCTCCACGCGCGTGGCGCCCGGCTCTGTTTCCCGCATCTGTGGGTGTGCGGGGCCGCGGGGACCTGGGAAGGGCTGGGGACAACCTGCGCCGGGCGGGCGCAGGGATTCGGGTGGGTTCCAGGCCTTGGACTACTGGGGTCCTGAGCTAGAGACTGGGATGCGGGGGGCGGGGGGCTGAGTGGTAGAAGGCGTCTCCCAGGGAGGAGGCACGCGGGACCTCTAGGGCCGGCCCTGCCACCGGATGGCCACGCGCATCCCCCGCGGTGCCTCCGCCTCCGTAGTGGGGGCAGGCGATGGGGCCGGAGGGGCGCCCGGCGAACACCCCAAATTGCACTTTCCCGGGTCGGGAAACCCTGTCCTAACCCGGGCCCCCGGGTCAGATACCTCTGCTAAGATCTGTGCTCATGGCCGCCCTCTGCTGGCGTCTGGAGACTCGTCCTCGCCGGGGGGGGGGGGGCCCTGAGGGTGTGACTCTGTGGGTCTGGTGACAGGTGGCACCTCCTTCCCTCCCAGGCGGGGGCCCGCTCATTGTTCTGCTGGGGAGGGGCCTCCGGCAAGTCGCCCCCGGACGGCAGGAGACTTGAACTTTCTCTTAGCAGGAGATAGTTCGAGTTCGCCAAAGATAAAGCCTTGGGTGGTTCAGCCCCCTCCGAGGCTCTAGCCTGTTTCCCCAGCTGTGGAGGGAAGGGAGTGAGGAGGAAAAGACGCACTGGGGTAATGGGAGGCTTCGCTTTGTAAATGGCCAACAACAGTTATAGCAGCAAATGCTGTGAGCTTGCTCCTGATCAGGCAGTGCTCTGTGCTCTGCAGACACGGTGTCCCTTGGTCTCACAGAGGTTTTCTGCCTGGTTCGTTGTGACTCTCATTTTGCAGAGGAAGAAAGGGAAATTCAGAGAGGTTCAATGACTTGCCCGAGGACACGCAGGAAGTGGGTGGAGCCACACCGGATCCAGGTAGCCCACTGGCTCCCAGAGCCCCAGATCTGCCAGTCCACAGGAGCTACTCTTCACCGAGCACCTGCTGTGTTTCGGGAAATGGGTGTGATTCATCTTCCTGAACCCTCACTACAGACCTGCAGGGAGGGGCTGTTAGAGCCCCCTTTTTTCTTCCAGCACTGGGGATTGAACTCAGGGCCTTTGTGCGGAGGGACTCCCCTCCACCCCGCCCTTTTTGGTTTATTTTTGAGTCAGGGTCTTGCTGAGTTGCTAAGTTGCCCACACTGGGCTCAAACTTTCTGTCCTCCTGCCTCAGCCTCCCAGAGGCCTGGGACTACAGATGTGGAAGTGGAGGGACAGAGAGGTTGAGTAACTTGCTCAAAGCCACCCAGCAGGATGTAGGTGTGCCCAGCTCTAACACTGGGCCCAGGCAAGCCCAGCTGACTCATACAGTGACCTACTGCCAAGGGGATTGGGTTGTCTGGTCTTGGGCCTTCTGGGTGGCCCTGAGGGGAGGTGGCTGGGGTAGCCAGGGTTAGCGAGAGGAGGCCAGGACGCTCACTAGGATGTGAACTAGGGTTCTGTGTTGTATCTCGGTGCCTGGGACCATGCTGGACACGGCAGATGCGTGGTTCATACTTGTACAGTCAGAGAGGCCGAGTCTCAGCTCTTTCATCTACCTGGGTAAAGTTAAGCAAACTTGGCATTCTAACCTCAGCTTCCTTGTCTGTCCAGTGAGGGTAATAATTCTAACACCGTGAGATCCGCAGGTAACCAGGTCCATGGAAGTGTGCTGATGAGTACAGGTCAGCCTTTAAACACCACCAATCACAAAGAGGATTGGCTGAAAAGATTTCAGACAAGTTCTGCCTCTATCATTTCCTGGCTGTGTGACCTTTGGGTAGTTGCTTCATGTCTCTGTGCTTCTTCTTTTTTTAAATTTTAGACAGGTTCTCATAAATAATTCAGGCTGGCCTCTAACTCAAGATGATCTTCCTGCTTCAGCCTCCCAAGTGCTGGGATTACAGTCATGAGCCACCATGCCCGGGATGTCTCTGTGGTTCTGAATGCATATTTAACTTGTGGATGAAATGGAAGAATAAAATTTTCCTTGCAAGGCATGAGGTGGGGGCTCTTGGAAGCTGCTAGATGTAGAAGCACTTTAAAAACCAGGAAGGAAGTGTGGGGCCCAGGAAGCAGGGTGTGAGTGTGTGCCAGGGTCCCTGAGGCTGGCCGAGAAGGGGTCCTGGGGAGGATGCTTCCCAGAGAGCCCCAGGTGTGACAGGCTGTTTGCCTCTGTGCCTGTTTCTGCTCTGCAGCTTTAAGGAGGAGGACAGTATGGGTATGAGGAATCTCACAAGTTCAGTAGTGATTTTTCTCAACACGTGAATGCTGGAGATTTCTGATCATTAGAGAGCAATTCATTGTATGATTCCTTACAATGAATGTTAACAGTCCTGCAGAAAGCACTTTCTGTAGTTACAGGGGTGACCGAAATACACAGCGAATGCTCGAATGAAAATTCTATTCGAGTAAAAGACTCATTGCCATGGGTCCTCTTCAGAAACTTCTCCCTTGCTTTGAGCACACTCATCCCATTGTTCCTGCCACTTTCCGAAGCACCTCTGGAAGTCCTCTTTTGTGAGTGTCTGTATGAGGCATGATCAAAAATACAGTGAAGGCTGCTGCTGAGTGCCAAAAAATGGGAAGGCAGGCTCATAAAAACATGACAGTGTGTCCTCCTCCACCTTACTCACCAGATCCGACACTATGTGACTTCTGTCTCTTCCTTAAAGTCAAAAGGACCATGAAAGGTAAATGTTCTGAATCAATTCAGGACTTGGAGGTGGCCATGACAGCACAACTGAAGACGATCATGAAAGAGGACCTCCAGAGCTGCTTCAGAAAGTGGCTAGAATGATAGGATAGGCATGTTGGGAGCAAGGGGGTATCCTGGCAATGTGTCTTTTAATGTAACAGTTTTTAAAATTTTAGCATTCGCCATACTTTTTATTATACTGCCTGCATGCACGCATCTGCCCCTTGCCGTCCCAACTGCGCAAACATCAGGAACCAATGATTCCCCATACCCTCAATAGCCAAACTCGTCTTCCCAACTTAAGGCCACTGCAGTGCTGGGGTGTAGCTAAGTGGTAGAATGCATGCCTATCTTGTGTGAAGGCCTGGATTCCATCCCCAGCACCTAAAAAAAAAAAAAAAAAAAAAATGCAAGGGAGAAATACCTGTGTGACTGGTTTAGCTACTTAAGAGAACTTACCATAAGTTTTCTGGTTAAATTAGAAATAGAAGAAAAAATTGTAGAGACATCCTTGAGTTTCAAAAAATGATTGGAGATAACTTTGCATTGGGTCAGACTTCGTTTTTTTAAACTTTTTTGCTGTGCTGGGGAGGAGCCAAGGGCTTGGCATAGGCAAGGCGAGCACTCTACCACTGAGCTACCTCCAGCCCTGGGTCAGACTTTTACTTTTGGTCACTGTGGTTTCTGTTGGCATCAGATGCCCCCAGGGACCTCTGTCTCCAAGAAGGAAGGCCTTGGCCCAAGGTGAGGGCTGCCGAGGGCTGGGGACCTGGTGTTGGCACATGTGTTAGTGGAGGATTAATGGCGCTGGTGTTTTTAATTAGGATTGCTTTTTGTTTCTGTTACCACTCAGATGCCAAAGTTGCATATATTTTGAGGAGTCTGCTCTGACTTTGTTTTTCCCCAACCTTGTTGTTTTTAAAATACATGACTTTACAAAAATACATATGGGGGGATGCAAATGTCACTGTGACAAAAACATCTGCATTCACTCATCCTCAGGAAGCCCTGTGCGCTTGGGGAGCATTGGTGGCAGATGAGCTGCCCTGAGAGGCTGCAGATGCTGCAGGTTGAGGCGGGCAGAGGGACGGGGTGGACCTGGGGTGTCTGGTTCGGCACCCACAAGCCTCAGTCCCCTCTCTGCTTCCCTCTTGATTCCCAAAGTGCAGCCTCAGGGAGGAGAAAGGAAATGGGCTCTCAGCAGGGTCAGTCGTGTGCCAGCCACTAGGCTGCATGGTCTGTGTAGTCATCTTTTTGAGTCTGACATGGCGAGTTCAAATCTGAGCTCTGCCACTTTCTAGCCAGGTAACCTTGGTTAGGTTATAAATTCTCTCTATGCTTTGGTTTTCCCATCTGTAAAATGGGGATTTTAGCAGGTTCCAGCTCTGGGGGTGGTGGTGGGGAGTCAGTGAGATAGTAAGGTGCTCAGTAACTCAGCTGTTGGCGTTTTTGTTTTTGTGGATCCTACCCACCCCTTAAAGTGGGTGTGATTTTTTTAGACCAAGTGAGCCTACGCTGTGTTCACAGGGACACTCAAAACGTGGTGGTTTAGTGCAGGGGACTTCCTCATGGGACAGTGTGGGTGGGGGAGGGCCAGTTGGTGGCAGCTCTACTGTTCCCTCGGAGTCCATGTGTCACTACCATAGCTGCCAGCAGGCTGGGGAAAGCCTGCCAGGGAAAGGCAGTCCCAGGAGGTTCAGTGCAGGACCTGGACATTGCACCTGTGGTGTCTGGTCCTTGCCATTTACTATGGCCCTCCTGGCTGCCCGGAGACCTTGGCCCCGTCTGGACCTCTATCTCGGTAAGGAGGAAATGAGAACAGAGCACTGAGAAATACGCCAGGGTGAGTCTTCTCTTAGGGGCCCAGCTCACAACTGAGGAAACTGCTCAAACTCACATAGCTAATGAGTGCTGTCAGCCCTCTGCCAGGTCTGTGGGGCTGCAGCTGTGGAAAGCACACTAGACTAACTGCAAATGGAAAGTATTTGGGACAAAATCATCCATATAGACTTTTTTGTTATTATTCCCTAAATAATACAGTATAGTATCTACAGAGCATTGACATTCTTTTTTGAGACAGGTCTCATTAAATTGCTAATCCGCACAGGCTGGGCTTGGGTGTCCTCCTGCCTCAGCCTCCCAGAGTGTTGGGAATACAGGTGTGCACCACCACAGCTGGCTGAGTGTTTCCCTCGTATTAGGTATGATAAGTAATCTAGAGCTGATTTAAAGTGTACAGGCAGATGTGCATAGGTTCCATGCAAATACTGCATATACTTTGTATGAGGGTCCACCATTGGACTGTGGTATCCTCAGGGGTCATGGAATGAATCCCCACAAATACCAAGGACAATTGGTGTGGAGATGGGATCTGAACCCGGATCTTCCAGTTCCCCAGCCCTGACCTGGGTGGCCCAGTTTCCGGTCACCAAGAGCTTCATGGGTGCCAGCAGGGGATTCATCTTGGACCAGAGCCGAGGCCTCAGGGGTCACTGTGCCGCTTGAGAGCACAGTGCTGGGGCCAAGTATGGGCTTCAGGGTTTCTGCACCAGGATGGGAGAGGAGAATGGCAGACTCTGCCTCTCGGCTTCCTCCCCTCCCTTGAGACCTCTTCACATTCTGGAAACAGCTTTCCTCCAGCCTATCCCCCCCCCCCGGCCCCCGCCAGTGCTTTGCTCTTCTCCCTCCTCCGTCCTCATGGTGTCCCCTCCCCTGTCCCCAGCACAGGCGTTCATGCCACACCTCTAGTGCGGCGGCAGCTGCTTGTTCGGCTCTGTCCATGTTAAATGGCACCCGAAGCGTTCTCCATGCTGCTACACGATAATCACGGCTGTATTAGTGAATGCGGCTGTCACTCTGTTCTTGCTGACCCTTACCCACCTTCCACATGCCCAAAGGGCTGTTTTCAGGGAGCAAATCTGACCCTGCAGCTATCCTGCTGAAAACCGGGCCTCTGGGACAAGCCTGACACTGAGGAGAGGACATCTACACACCTCTCCCCTCCTCTCCCCTATCAGTCAGGTCTTGGCAGGACGCAGAGTTCATTCTAGTTGGATCCCATAAAGAGACCCTAATGGAGCGCTGTCTTCTGGACTGTAGGTTGCCGAATCCGAGGAGGCAGTCAGGGGGCGGAGTCAGGGAACAGCAGCCGCTGTGGGGGAGGCACACGAGCCAGAGGGAGCAGGGGAGAAATAATGACGGCCACCGCCCCTTCTCCTGAGTGTGGCTCATTGACTGAGGGTCCTGGGCCCAGGACGAGTGACCCACAGGATCCAGTGGCTGTGCAGAGAGAAGGGCAGGAAGCGGGCCTGGACTGCAGGGGAACAAATGGAGGGCATCCAGCCCAGCCCTGTCTCCAAGTACTGTCCCTGGTACAGGCCACTTTGCAGGGACTGTCCCTGTAGGACCAGCCTGTCCTGCAGCTCAGAAATCCCCATGTTGTCAGTCTTTCTGGAGCCTCCATCCTGTCCTCAGCCCTGTTATGAGGACCTCCTGCCTGTACCTCCCTGCCCTTCCCAAGACTGAGCTCCTCTCAGGGGCACCCAGAGTTGGCAGGGGCAAGGGTGGGGTGGGTGTGGGGTCAGCGAGGCACCAGCCTCAGGCACAAAGTATAAGTGGGAGAGGGTAGGTTTGCCAAAATCCTAGTGCTCAACGCATGATTTTTAGTGCAGTACAGAGGGACTTGGGGCCCCCAAAGTGGGCTTCTCTAGCTTGTTTTCTTTCTCATCCCAGTTTACCTCGGGGCTCCAGCCTCGCCCAGGACACCCTGGTGCTGCCACCATGCGTGCCTCAGTGGGCCTGCTGCTCCTGGTCCTGCTTCCCCTGCTGCCCTGTGTCCCTGGGCTGCCCTTCTATAATGGCTTCTACTACAGCCCCAGTGGCAGGAACCTTGGCAACGGCCACGGGGAAGGTGAGTGTCCCCAGGGCTGTCCCCTGGCTCCTGGGATGAGGACAGGCACAGCACAGCACAGCAGCCTCTGGGCTCTTGGGGTGGACCAGCCTCACTTCTAGGATGAGAAGTGGCTTATTTGCTCTGGGTTTGCCAGCTCCTCAGACACGGGCCAGGTCCACTTAGGGATGATCACTTGCCTTTTTTATATTTTCCCCAAAGTCCTGCCAGTTCTTCAAGATATGTCTTAAATGCAACCTTCCCTGGTCTCCCCAGTGGAAAGAGGGCCAGAGGTCTCATAGATTTGACTCTGAATCTTAGTTCTGCCTCTTACTAGCTGGATGGCCTTGGGTGAAAACAGTGGTGGGACTTGTGCCCTGTGGGGTCTCACACTAAAGATCAGGTGACCTTTGCTCGGTGACCTGGTCCTTTGGCTGCCTGTTGGGCTGTGCCCCCTGTAAGCCTGAGCCCCTAGGAGAGCCTGCTGCACAAGTTCTGGCCTTAGCTCCCAGGTATTTAGAAAGAGTTCTAGTGGACGGCTGCCCACACACTGAAGGGGAGGCTGCGACCTCCAGAGCCCAGTGTGTCAGGAAGGACGTCCTCAGGGGACATGCCTGGAGAGGCTCTTACTGCCTGCTGTGCCAGTTTCCTCCCACCTTCTTCCTTCCCTCCCTTCTTCTTTCCCTCTCGCCCTTCTTTTCTTCCTTCTGCAGTACTGGACTTTGAACCCAGGGGCTCATGCATTCTAAGCAAGAGCTCTACCACTGAGCTGCATCCCCAACCCTTTAAATTTTTTGTGTTTTAAGACAAAGTCTCTAAGTAGCCCAGGCTGGCTTTTAACTTGCCATCCTCCAGCTTCAGCCTTCCAAGCAGCTGAGGTTACAGGCGTGACACATCAGTTAGCTTTTGGTGCACAACAAACTACCTAAATATAGTGGGCGAGACAGCAGACATTTCCTTAAGGCAGGAGTCCACAGCTGGGTGCCTGGCCCTTGTGGGCCGGGTGAGGGTGTGGGTGGCTGTGCCCAGCCCAGGTGGGCTTCGGCAGGGCCCCTCTGTGCCACTTCACCTCCAGGCCTCTTCAATGGAGTGAAGCTGGTGGTGGAGACGCCTGAGGAGACCCTGTTCACCCACCAAGGCACCAGTGTGACCCTGCCCTGCCGCTACCACTACAAACCGGCCCTGGTGTCCCCAAGGCCTGTGCGCATCAAATGGTGGAAGCTGTCAGAGAATGGAGCCCCGGAGCAGGACGTGCTGGTGTCTATTGGGCAGAGGCAGCGCTCCTTCGGGGACTATCAAGGACGTGTGCACCTGCTGCAGGACCGGGAGCTCGAGGCCTCACTGGAGTTGCAGGACCTTCAGCCTGAGGACTCCGGGCGCTACCGCTGTGAGGTCATCGATGGGCTGGAGGATGAGAGCGGCGTGGTGGAGCTAGAACTGCGGGGTGAGGCCCCAACGTCGGCCGGGTGATGTGGGACCTGGGAGGGAATCATCCAGGCCTTTGTGCTTTACACACACGAGCACATCCCATCCTCACAGGAGCCTGGGAGGAAGCTACTATTCTTACCACCCCACTTTACAGATGAGGAAGCACAGGGAGGTCAAATAACACAGCTCATAAATGGCAGAGCTGATATTTGAACCCAGGCAGCAGCCTCCAGAATCCATTGCCTTTATTCCATCAGACTCACATCTCATTCAGAGAGAAGAAAATGGGAGCTGGTCCCACAGCTCGTTAGAGCCAGAGCTGAGCTTCAAGCAAGGCTTACAAGTAACATAAATGAACAAGGCAGGCCAGGGAGTGCTGGGGCCCAGGGCACATGCTGAGACCTGGCCCATCTAACGGGACCTGCTGTCCTCAGGCCCAGCTGGTGAGGACAGAGTGCAAGCTCAGGGCTGCTGGAGTTTCGAATTTGACAAAAACAAAACAGAACTTATCTTTTAATGCAAAAGAGCTGAGTTTTTATGTAAAAGTGTCCTACTTTTAGAAAAGCTCCATTGCTGAGCAAAGCAGCCAGACTCTGCCAGCCAAGTCTTATGTGTGGGCCCAGGCTGAGATCTAACTGCTCTGACTCCTCTGTCTCTGGCATGGGGCCGTGTGCTGTTGTCTCCCCTCCCTGCTGGGGAGGCAGCTGTGTGGAAGAAGAAGCCCTAATGCCACCCAGCCTGTCTCACCTGGGAAAGCCTCCCCCTGGAGCTCCTGTTCTCTCCCATGTGAAGAGGGGAATAGCAGTAGCTCCTCCCTTACCTGCCTCAGTGGCCAGGAGGAGAGATGCCAGGAGGAGTTTTTGTGGCATCTCTGCCTCTGCAGGCTCAGAGGGACCACACTACTCCTGCTGATTTGGGAATGATGGAGGGTGGAAGTAAGATGCAAGAGTCATTCATCTGGGTCTGCAGGGGCAGACTAGAGACCCAAGGAGCTCCCACCCTGTTCCTGGGGCTGTAAGAGCTGGGAATTTGAGGGTGGGGCCAGATCCCCCTGCTAGCAGAGACTGTTTCTGAGCTGACTGTTGGGGCTGAGAGCTTCTCTGCCCCTCCACCTGGCTTTGCCTAGGTGCCTGACTTCCTGCCTCAGCAAGACCGGAGGTCTGGTGCTCAGGGTCTTCTCAGGTCCCCAGCCACAAGGAGGAGCTCCAAGGACTGCCAGCCCTGCTTCCTAACAACACACGTCAATCAAGGGTCCCCTCCTAGGGTTAGCTCCACTCCTTAAGTTTTCATCTGACTGGATAGGGACAGAATCTTAGATGATTAAAAAAGCTTTTTATCATAGTAAATTTTCCAACATGCATGGTAACTTTTGAGGGGACCCTGTTGCCCCTGTCTGACCCTAGTGACCAGGAGAGAGGCCTCTGTCCCAGGACCTCCCTGGTCCCCTTTATTTAAGGGACTTCACCACTCCTATTCCCATAGCTTCTGTGGCCTCTCTTTTCCCTGAACTTGCCTGAGAAATTTTCATATTAATAATGATGTATACAGTTAATCCTCTGTATCTGTGGGTTCCACAGCTGTAAATTCAACCAACTCACAGATCAAAAATATTCAAAAAAAAAAAAGAAATATTCCAAAAAGGAAAAGTAAAATTTGGTGCATGCCAAGCACTATGCTGAATTCTGGAGAATGATGGTGTAGACACTGTGTTAGGTATTATAAGTAACCAGAGATGGCTCAAAGCAGTGGTCCCCAATCTTTGTGATACCGGGGACTGATTTTGTGGAAGACATTTGTTTCACAGTTGGGGGAGGGCATGGCCCTGGGATGATTCACGTGCATTACATTTATTGTGCACTTTATTTCTATTATTATTACATTATAATACAGGTGTCTCTGCTAATGTAAATCTATATTTGCAGCTGCTGTCCAGTGCTAGCATCACTGCCTCAGCTCCACCTAAGATCATCAAGCATTAGATTCTCATAAGGAGCAGGCAATCTAGATCCCTCAAATGTACAGTTCTCAGTAGGGTTCTTGCTCTTATGAGAATCTAACTTCACTGCTGATCTGACTGGGGGTGGGGGGATGAGGGTGGGCTCAGTGATAACGAGGGGCAACTGTAAATACAGATGAAGCTTCTCTTGCTTGCTGCTACACTATCTACCCTCTAAGCCCCTCTCTTCCCATCCCCAGGTGTGGTCTTTCCCTATCAGCCCTCCCAGGGCCGCTACAAGCTCAACTTCCCAAAGGCACAGCAGGCCTGTGAGGAGCAGGATGCAGTGGTAGCCTCTTTTGAGCAGCTCTTCCGTGCCTGGGAGGAGGGCCTGGACTGGTGCAATGCTGGCTGGCTGGAGGATGGCTCTGTGCAGTACCCCATCACCCTGCCACGGGAGCCCTGTGGGGGCCTGGGTCTGGCACCTGGTGTGCGCAGCTACGGCCCACGCCACCACCGCCTGTCCCGCTATGACGTGTTCTGCTTCACCGCTGCCCTCAAGGGTGAGTGTGATGGCCATCTGGGACCTGTGGGAGGGCAGCATCTTGGGGGCTTCTGGATCCCTCCGCCTTCCCACTAGACCCCGGCCAGGAAGTCTGGAGCACCAGGAGGTCTGAAAGCAACAATGTCCATGGAGTTTAGAGTTCTTTGAGGCTGCTGCTTCCTGTCCATCTTCAGTTTGTTCACTTATCAGATACTTTCTGAGTGTCTGTTCTATGGTGGGGCCTAGCCTAGGCTCTGGGGCATCATAGACACATGAAACACATTTGTGTGCTTAAAACAGCCCAGTTTGTTGGCAGATAAACACATGGGATCTGAATTTGGCTCTGTGCTGTGTCCCAGGACCTTGGCACACACTGGGTGCTCAGTAAATGACTGAATGCCTGAAAGGCTCTAATGGGCCCTGTCTAGGTTGGATGCATTCAGGGAAGGGTGGCAGGGGAGGAACCCCAGCCCCATGGCACATGGGATGGTGGGAAGGTGAGATGAAGCCTGGGAAGGTGACCCCCAAAGTGCCGATGTGGATACCCACAGCATGTGGCTGCCTGGGCTCAGTTGCTGCAGTCCCTGTCCTCACTGTTCAGCCCCCTGCTGGCTGCCCAGCGCTCACCCTCGCTCTCCTCCAGGGCAGGTGTACTACCTGGAGCACCCGGAGAAGCTGACGCTGACAGAGGCTCGTGAGGCCTGCCGGGAAGATGGCGCCCACATCGCCAAGGTGGGCCAGCTCTTTGCTGCCTGGAAATTCCGTGGCCTGGACCATTGTGACGCTGGCTGGCTGGCAGATGGCAGTGCCCGCTACCCTGTGGCTCACCCCCGCCCCAACTGTGGGCCCCCTGAGCCGGGGGTACGGAGTTTTGGCTTCCCAGACCCACAGAGCCGCTCCTATGGTGTCTACTGCTACCGCCAGCGCTAGCCCAGTGCCAGCTCTGCAGCCACCTCCCTCCCTCCCAGATCTGAATTTATGGACTGGTTCCTTTTCCCATGTGGGTTGGGGCAGTTTTTGTAGTTTTTATATTTTTCAACTTAAACAAAATTTAAAAGTATTATACCAACTGCCAGCTCTTTGGACTCCCCAGGCTCTCCTGCTCAGGACATTTGAAGTCCTTGGGGTTTCAGAGGGGTCTCTGCCATCACAGAGGCCACAGGGGCTGATGCCCAGGATGGGCACAAGGGCGCAGGACCTGGTGGCTGCAGCTCTCCCTCTGCCTCAGTCTGGGGAGGTTAAGGGCTGGGGTTGGGTGGTGGTGGGGCCTTTCTCATTCCCTGAGTCACTCCCTAGGCTTCTGGGTGAAATTCCCTCTCCTCTCCTTTCTTCTCTTGGTTCCAGAATCTATGTCTTTCTCTCGTTTCCCTGTTTGGGGAAAGCACTCTGGTTTTGTGTCTCCTTTGGACAATAAATGGTGCTGTGGCCCTTCCTCCATTCCTGGCCTCCCTGTATCTCAGTCTCAGGGCTCAGCTCTGTCAGGGTAGTGGGTTCAGCTCTGTCCTGGGCTTTACAGGTGGGTGGGCAGGGATTGTGAATTTGAGGCCAGCCTGGGAAATTTAGGGAGACTTTGTCTTAAAATTTAAAAAAAGGATATATCTCAGTGTAGAGCACCTTTGGGTTCAATCTGCAGTATGGCAAAAAACCCCAAAACCAAACAAAAATGCATTTTCTTTTCCTTTTCCTATCCTTCTCCCTCCCTCCTTTCATAGAGCTAGAGATCAAACCTAGGGAATCATTCTACCACTCAGCTATATTCCAAAACACTAAATGTGTGTGTGTGTGCGTGCACGCGTGTGTGTATGTGTGGTACTAGGGCTTGAACCTAGGGCTTTGCACTGAGCTACACCCCCAGCCTTCTTTTTAATCTTCCTTTAAAAAAAATTTGAGATGGGGTGTCATTAAGTTGCTAAGTTACTCAGGCTGGGCTAAAATTTGCAATCCTCCTGCCTCAGCCACCCAGAGTGCTGAAATTACAGGCATGCAACACCATGGTTGGCTCTAAGTTGTGTTTTTGATTTTTGATATTTTAAAGAAACACTTGAAAGTCAGTTTAACTTACCATGAACCACATAATTATTGAGCCCCTTCTATTTGACCAGGGGTCTACCTTCTTTTGCCCACTCTATCCCTCCCAGAGCTGTAAGTAACTGGTCACACCAGCCAACACCCAATAATACACACAGCCACACCTGAGAAGATACTGGCTCGCACAAACGCGCATCAGCAGGCTCTGGCAACACCTCGTGGGCACATGCAGTAACCACAATGAAGGAGGTGTCCTGAGGGGGAGGTGGCAGCCCTGGGGGAAGCCACTTCCTGGCCCACACGCTCTGGCTGACTCTCAGGGTTTGGGGAGGATTCACAAACTCTTAAGTCAGGTTTCTCTGATACCCTGTAGTCTGTGTAGGGGCAGGATGTGGTGCCTGTCTGCTAGCAGCCAATAACCAGTGTGACCTAAAAATGTGAGAGCAAAACCCACTGTTCCCACTGTCTGCGGTTTGGTTTTGCAATTCTTTTTTTCAGATCCTGATGCTCTGCTCTGCTTTTGGACTCAGGCTACCAACTTATTCTTCCCATGGCTGCTGACAGTGTGACAGCAAAGAGCCAAATGAGGTACGGCGATCAGGGTCTCACTGGAGTTGTTCTTTTGCAAATCCACACAGCACCAAGGACTGACCCGTATCATGTATGTGACAGGCATTCCTGGCACACTCACTCACACACACACACACACACACACACACACACTTCTCATACACTCCCGGAGAATCCATCCAGACAATGTGAATCCATCCAGACAAAATAAACAGATGAAGCTGTCTCAGGCTCTGAACAGACAGGAGTTACACCACGTGGGGCCATTTGATCAAAATGTGTCCCCACGGCCACCATTCCTGAGAGCCCCTTTCCGTCGGCCCCAGATTGTGGTTTGCCCGCTCCTTAAATTGAAAAAAAAAAAAAAATGGGAAAAAGCAAAGAAATAGATCTCTTCCAATGTCTTTATTATTATAATTATCATAATCTTTAGTTTTTCAAAAATATAAATAGGTGCACGGAACCCTGGTGCCTGCACCGTCCCGGGGAGGGGGGAGGGGAGGGGCAGGGCTGCACGCCCCCTGGGAAGGATGTGCCCCCACCCAGCCCTGCCGAGAGATGACACCTGCTAGGGTGGCTGACTGGGTGAGAGGACACTGGAGGGGGGACCCTTGGAGGGAAGGTGACCCCGGCATTGCGGAAGATCCTTCTGATGGGGCTCTCTCCTGTCACTGGGCCCCCAGGCTTCTCTTGTTCCAGATGGTGCGACCTTCCTGGCTCCTTGTGTCCCCTACATTCAGCTGCGGTGGTAGGGTCTGAGTCCTTCTGGCCTCAGACTCAGCCCCAGCCCCTTCCAGATCCTTTCCACCCACTCCTTCCGCCCTAGCTCTTCCTGGAGGTGAAATGACCAACCATTGCACTGCTCTTGGATAAAGTCAGGGAACAAAAAATAATCTTCTTTATTTAACTTAACCCCTTCCCTGCTCCCCCTGTCCCTGCGCTTGTCCCTGGAAAGGCACGACGGGAGATTGAAGAAATGTCTCTCCTCTCAGTCCACGGGTTGTGATGAGCTTGCTTTGCTTTGGGTTTTGGGGACAAATTAGATGTGGTTTTGGAGATTTGGGGGTGGGTGGGTGCATGCACAATGTGGGATTTGGTTTTTCCTTCTTTAATGGGATTCCTTATAAGACAAAAAGCAACAAGAAGAGGACACCATTGGGGGGAGATGCGCGGTCTGGTCAGCCTGGTGGGCTCCTGGGCTCAGCATCCTGGGCAATGCCTGAGGCTCCTCTCAGTGGCCCAAGCTCGGAGGGCTTTGCCGGGAGCTCTGCTTCTGTAGTCGGCGCTTGTAGGTGGTGGCTGGAGCAGAGGGACACAGGAAAGGATGGTGAGCCGGGGAAGTGGGGTGGAGCCCTGGCTCCCCCGTCTGCCCCTCTCTGCTGGCGCCCCTCCCTGTGGATACCCAGGAAGGCAGCCTGAAGCTTTACTGGGGCCCAAGGTTGATTTTTCTGTGAGCCTCCTTGGGCTTAGAGGGTGCAGGCTGGGGTTGGAAAGGCCAGCAGGCCACCATGTTCTCCTTCATTCTCTCAGTGAACGTGTCCTCAGCTGACCAACCCTGTTTCTCCTGTGGCAGGGGCAGTGATCCGTGAGCTTGGTGCTCTGGGTCTATCCTGGGGACAGCACAGGATCCCCAGGGGATAGCAAGCCAGGGCTGTGGTCAGGGGACAGGAAGGGGATGAGCATGCTCACGGTCTGTGCAGGTGATCCGAGGCTCCTCCCAGTGCCCGCTGGGCTGGCACCGGATGGTGGGGACATGGCGCTGGACAAAGCCCTCTGTGCACTGGTACCGAACCAGGGAGTTGATCTCATACCGGTCCTTCTTCTGCCCCAGGGTCCTGGCATGCTCCACCACAGGGGGGTCTTTGCAGGCCACTAAGGAGCAAATGCCCTTTAAAAAGGGGTCTCTTGGGGCTTCTGTGATGACACATGTGGCCTGTGCCCTAGGTACCCTGGGAAGGGCACCAAACGCCCCCTAGCGGTGAGCCCTGACTGCCTGCAAGAATCTGGAGCCCTAGAGCCTAAAACCTGGGTTCCTCTCTGACGTGCCCTGGCAGGAAGGGGATTCCAGAAGAAAGGGAGGGAGAAAGCTGGGGAGATAGGGGGAGGGCCAGGCAGACCATCTGTGGCTTCCTTATGGAAACACCTAGGGCCGGGGAAGGGAGGACCCAAAGGAGGTCTGGGGACACAACATGAGCAGAAGTAGGTGGGTGTGTCTTACCAGTTATCTGTATCTACAGACCTAAAACCTGACAACTCTGATACTGTGACCAATGGACTTGGGAACCCCAGAGACAGGGTGCTCCTAACCCAGGTGCCCTCAGGGGTGGCTTTCTGCTGCTGATATCCAAGGGTCTGTGGTGTATGTGTATGTGTGTGGGGGGAGGTCCTGTCCTCTAGTCTGGGATCTTCCCCTCTTGTTGTCCCTGTGAATGATCCCTAGGAATGAGCTGGCCCTTGCCATTGGCCCCAGGTTTCTGGTTCTGGGAGAGGCTGCCAGGTCACTTACCATCCTTTGTAAGGATGTCCCCATAAGCCAGGCGTACCTGTAATCCCAGCCCTCTGGGAAGCTGAGGGAGGAGAAGTGTAAGTTTGAGGCCAGCCAGGCAACTTAGCGCCTTAGCCAGATCCTGTCTCAATATAAAAACTAAAATAAGGGGTAGGGATGTAGCTCAGTGTTTCCAGCCCTGTGTTCAAACCGCAGTACTGGGGCAGGGGGTGTCCTCACAGGCCCCTGCAGCTGGAACACAAGAGGACTTGTCCCTGGCCATGCAGTAAGAGCCTCCCTTGCAGCAGAAGTCTTGGTTCCCCTCTCAGGCCTCTTGCTGCCTTACCTGTGCCCTTTTTACACGTGAAAGGCAGGTGGTAATTGCAGGGGACATCGTTCCACTCGCCCTTCTCGTGCCAGATCATCACCACACAGTCCTCTCCTGTGGCAAAGAAGTTGTCCGGCTGGTTGGGACGCCACTTCTCAAATTGCTGTGGACAGGAATGGGAAGGGGTGAGGGGAAAGCAGGAGCAAAGAGGCTGGCCTGTCCCCCATTTCTTCCCCGGCCAGCCTCTCCTGTCTTCTTTCTCTTTCAGCCCAACTTCTGGCTCATCTCGTGGTGGTGAAGGCTGCTGGGAGGTTTGTGGCCAGGGTGGTGCTAGTGCCACGAAACCATGGGCCCTCTAGAGGCTGCTTACACAGCTGGCTCTGGCCTTTTGCAGGAGCCCAGACCCCCAAGGGTTTGGTCCCTGATGGGATTCGGCTCTTCACTGCCGGGCACCATTAATGCTCCTGTTGCCCACTGGGTATCTGTGCTGTCTGTCTGTGTCCTTATGTAGACATGAGTCCTTCATGGGCAAGGAACTTCTCACAAGTCTGTGGATCCCTCATGGTGGCTTGGTATCATTCTTTCATTTTCCTCCTGGCTCCCTACATGGCCTCATGCCTCTGCTCAACCTGCCCAGCCCTGTGCTGGTCCCCAGGGGTAGAAGGGGAGGAGACACAGCCTAGCCCTCCAGGGCTCTGCTCCACTGGCTGCTCAGGGAGCATGAGCATGGCATTTAGAGGCATCTCTCTCTCTCTGGGGTCTTTATCCCACCTCCCTCTGCTCTGCGGCCAGTATCCCTGATGGAACTCACCAAAGGATGTCCATCTGACCAGCGGAAATCCCCTTCAATAGTCCTGTCATTCAGGCCGACCCACTGGTAGTCCTGAGCATTTCCTGGAGAGAAGGTGGGTTGGGACCTGGGGTTGGACACCCTGAGGATCTGAGGACTGCAGCTCATGGAGAAGGGGCGAATGGAGGAGGAGGAGGAACTTCTAGAGTCCCTCACAAGGGTCTCAGGACATGCATGTTGGCGAGCACTTTGGACCCCCTTGCCCCAGGCTGGCATGGATTGGTGACAGCCAGAGTTTTTCTGGGACTGCCCTTGACTGGCAGGAGGCTGTCCTGGATGTGGCCAGAGCCAATCACCTCAAATTCCACTGTGTTCTCTCAGGGAACTTAGGCTGTGGGAGGGCCCCTTTGTCTCAGTCCTCATTCCTGCCACCTCTCTGGACCCATTCTGCCAGGTTCTTACTTTTATTGGTTTAGCAGTACTGGGGCTGAACCGAGGGCCTCATGCATAGCAGGCAGTCGCTCTACCACTGAGCTCCATTGCTCGCCCCCAGTCTGCTGACATCTGACGAGCAAGGCCCTCTGCCCACTTGGCCACTGTCCTCAGTCCCCAGAGGTCCCCCCCACACTCACTGTTGACAAACTCCTGCTCCTCGGGGGTGATGATGCTGCTGAGGTGTGACTGGTGCTCCCGACACCGCCTCTCGGCCTCTGCCCAGGTCTCACGGTCAGGGAAGTGGCGGTAGCAGTGGCCCTGGAATTTGGTCCAGCCCTCCTCGCACATCTCCTGGTCTGCAACACAGGTGAGGGCCTTGAAGGGGGCTCCAAGCCCAGCTGGGCATCTGGTTGCTGCCAGTCTTGTGGCCTGGATTCCTATATTCACCCCACCTTAAATGCTGTGCCCTCGAGGAAGGGACAGGCCCCATGGAGCCAGGTTCATGTTGGCAGCCTCGAGGCCTGGCCCCCAGGAGTCTCTGAGCATGCCCCACCTCTGAGAAATTCTGGGGACACTTTCTCTCCCTGATGTGGTGCCACCCCTTCCTCCTCTCGCCCCCCACATCCCAAGCTTTCCTCCTGCAGATACCTGCTCTGGAGGCCTGGCAGAGTCTGCAGGCCAGGTCAGTAGAGGTGGGAAGGGAGGAGGTTAGGAGATTTGAGGCACACATGGTGCATCAGCTCCGAGGGGCTCCAGAGACAGGAGCTGTGGGGAGCTGGGGAGGCAGCAGGGGCAGGGCTGGCAGGAGCTAGAGCTGGCAGCCTCCTTCCTGCAGATCCTTGGGTGAGGACAGAGGGTTTAAAGAAGACACAGAGCTCTGAGGTCACCGATCAGAGCTGGCCCTGGCTGGCCCTGCCTCTCAGAGAGCGACACAGTCCTTCTGTGATCCAGAGGCCTGGGCTCTTATATTTTGGTGGCAGATGGGGAGAAGGGAGATGCGTCTAAATTTGTAGTGGCTTCTCCTTTCTGGAGAAGGGGCTGATTTGGAGGGCTCGGAGCAGCCTAGGAGGACAGAGGCAGGGACATGCCAGAGCCAGCCCATTCAGGCTTGGAAGAGGCAATTGTGAGGGTCTCTTCCTAACTTGGAATCCAGTGACATTACATTGGTAGTTTTAAATTGGCCCTAGGAGAGCATTTACACCTCAGAGATTAGCAGATGCTACCAGTCAGGGCCCCTTTTCTTCTGTGAGAGCCAGGTGTTAAACATCTGCCAGGGCAGCACAGAACAGAAGGAACAACAAGTCCCTCTCTCCCTTCTTCTCTTGACACCTCTGTGTATAGGGCCCTGGGCTTGGTGAAGAGCCATGAACGTCTTAGGATGTGTGATTCCCCTCTCATCGGGTACCAACAGTGTGTGGGTGTCTCAGGGAGGAAGGCCCAGTGCCTGAGAGACAGGAGCCTTAGGCCACACAGTGGATGCTTGGCCAGCTTGGCAGAGACAGCTGGGATGAGAGGGGACAGGACAGCAGAGGCCCGGAGCCTGAGGAGAAAGAGGTGGAACAGCAGGAGGGACTGGGAGAGGCCTGGGGTCCTCTTGCTACCAGTGCCCTCCCTCAGGGGGTTGCAAGGGCTGGGAAGAGGCAGGGAGGCTTCAGAGATAGCTTAGCACCATGAGGAGGACAGAGGTCCCATGCTAGGGCTGCCTGGTGTGTGTGTGGGGGGCAGTTCCTGGGCCACCTCAGTGTCGGAGGGGTGAGCTGGGCGGGCAGAGCCAGTGGGTGGAGCTCCTGAGGATGGTTGGACAGGGCTGTGCAGGATGGGGCTCTGGGAAACAGAGACAGATTCTCAGGGTGGCTGGAAGGATGAGTGGGGCTGGAGCCAAGGATGGGCACCATGGGGTGGGAGAAGGGATGTGGGCTTGCTTCACAGGGCACCCAGTCCCAGGGCCAGCTTGGAGCTCTGTCAGGGTGCAGAGGCCCCCTCTCCTAGGCAGGAGCCCCAGAGCTGGTGTCTGTGTGGACGTTGCAGACTCTTCTCCCCTTTGGCAAATGTTTTGGCATCCTGGGGAGAAAAATCTATGTAGCTCTTTTCTCCCACCCCAGCTGAGACCCCATGCATTAATTCCTTAAGGTCTTGGGGTGAAGATGGAGGGTGGAAGGCTGCAGGGCAGGAGGAGTGCCCAGGCCTTTTCTTTCAAAAGTCATAAGCTCCTCTACCAGCCTTAACCCTGGCAGGGCCTCCAGGGAATGTGCCATGTTCTCACACTACTTGACCCCAAAGGGAGACTTCCCAGGAGTCTCAGCTTCTTTCTGGAAGTTTCTGGGGGTCCAAATTGAGCGTTCATTGAAAAAGGCTTTGAGCCTCTGCACTTTCTGTTCTCTGTGAGCCATGGCTCCCAGCACCCCAAAGCCCCCCTCTCCCCTTTCCTAAGTTGGGAAGGCCCTGGGATTCAGGAGGCTGGGGAGGGCACAGGGAGACCTAGGGGCTAGGCCTGGCCCTGAGAGGCTCCTGGCATATAGGTGCAGAGCAGAAGGGTTGGCCGGGCCCCAAATGGGCAACTGAGCCCCTGCCCCTTGCAATGACATTTTGTTCTCTCTGACCAGAACTTTGCCCTTCACAAGGGAGGAAGAAAGGAAGGAGGGCAGGCATGGCATTGACATGGCAGCTGTCATGGTGTGACAAAGAGAAGGTGACATGCAATAGTCCTTGTTCATGCATGACTTGAGCATGACAAGCAATACAGGAGGCAGACACTGCCTGTGAACATGCTGGGAAGATCCATGGCTGTCACTGGAATGAGAACCAATCACCCTCACCCATAGCTTCCATTCAGACAAAAGCAGGGAATCAGCCATGTCCTCTTAGTCTGTCGCATGCACCAGGTTTGGTGGTGGCCTCAGAAAGTCTGAAAGCCCTGGAGAAGGTTAGTGTTTTAAAGGTTCCCAAAGCCCAGTCTGGGCATCTCCTGTGGTCAGGTCAGCCAAGGCCTGGAGAAGGGTTTTCAAGGGGCAGAGTAGAAGAAAGGGAGGGAATCAGTGGGGGCAGACAGATGTCTCAGCTGTGGGCCCTGGAATGGCTGTCCGGATGGACCTGGGTACCCACCTGGGACCTAGATCCTGCTGTTAGGAAAAAAAAAAAAAGGTAAGGTTGTGTGTGTGCAGCAGTTAGTAACATTAGCTGAAGCCGAGACGGCCGTACCGATCTCACACAGGTCCCCTCCGTAGCTGGGAAGGCATAAGCATGTGAAAGAGTCGATGGTGTCCATGCAGGTGGCTCCATTCAGACAAGGGCTTGAGAGGCACTCATCAATGTCTGCAAGAAACCAAGGGCCACCATTAGGACTCCTGTCGGCAATTCCAGCCTCACAGTACTGTGGCTTCCTTATAGGTGGCCAGCCCTGCTCCAGAGCCCTGGAAGGGGACTGGCTGGTTTTCCTGAGAACTGTTGCTACTGCTGCTGCCGCCATCTTGGAATATGCTGAACCAAGGATCCAGAGAGGGGTTGTCTTGGATGTGTGTGAATCCTGATTGCCAAGCTTGGAGCTGTGGAACCAGGCTTCCCAGCAGGTAGAAGAAATTTGGTACTTGTGAAGTCAAACGCCTTTGGGAGAGTGAGTGTGACATTCTTCCCAGATACTTTCTCTTGTAAGTATTTTAAGAAGCCTGACTGTGAACTGGCTCTGACCATGGTGGTGGGCAAGAACACTGCAAGGCAAGTTCTTGAAGCTTGACTAAGGTCTTCCTTCCCCTCATTTCCTCCATAGATGTGAACCAGGGAAACAAGCAACCTGGAAGGGATCTGCAGAGTACAGATTCATGAGACAATGGCCATGTGGGATATTTGCATGAGACCCATTAGCCTTTTGAATCACAATGTCCAGATCAGCTCCATCCTAGGCAGTTATGACAAGCATTTGAAGCTGGCCAGGTACTTAGAAGGTGGCTGTTCACCAACAGTGGGGTGGAATATAGGCTTTCCACCAGCTTCTTCTGGCTCTTTGTCCCTTTTCTTCTTCTGGACCTGAGATGTTCTTTCTGGTCAAAGTTCTCTGCAGGAATCAAACTGGTAAGTCATTGACCTTTGCCTCAAGTAGTCAAGAACTCTAGTTCTAGTAGTATCTCTAGTCTAGTCTCTCTGCGTCTTTTTGAAAATCCAGAATACCTCAGGATATATTCTGCTCTCTTTGTGTTTGTATTCCAAAGCTCTTGCTGTTTTTTTTTTTCCTGGGTTCCCTCCCCTAGGAGCATGATAAAGGGTTTTATGCAGTTCCTTTTGCCAGGAGATCAATAAAATTCAGCAACAAGCAGGCTCCACAGGTTTACGGGGCATCAAGATATGTCGCTGAAAGAACGCTAAGTCTTGGTGTGTACTGCTGAGCTCATATGACCTTCAGGATCCGAGGAGATGTCGATCGGGTGGTCTTCACTGAGCCTATTTTGGGAATAGGGCCCCTGAGTCCTAGATATGTTCCAGGACTTAGTTCTTACCTCCCATAGAGAAAACCAAATCTTAAAGTCAAGCCTCTGATAGGACGGCAAACACCTTTTCCTCTGGATCTTCACACTTGTGTGTAGCAAACATCCCGGGTTTGTGCAGTGGGTGAGCCCCAAAATCCCTGGTTCTTGTTGTCTCATGAAGCTCCTGATCTCTGGTTCTCTCTCTTCCTATTAGGTCCTTAGCTTCATTTCATGGAGTGCACACCATGGATTAGAAACCAACAGTTCCAAGCAAACCCAAAATGCATGGAGGAACTGGCTGAAATCCCAGCATGCACTTGGAGTCCCAGCATGCACCAGGATTCCCAGCAGCAGCAGTAGCAGCAATAGGTCAGGTCAGTTGGCAGGGTGGAAGCTGGGGCAGCTCTCCTGCTTCAGGAAAGCTATGTCCTCTTTTGTCCATTAGAGTCATTACGGGAGATGGGAAGCATTGGGTGAGGGAAATTAAGCAAATGTAGGCGCTCAAGCAGTTGTACAGAGCAGGGGATGAGGTGGCCTCTGAGGAGAAGAGTCAGACATCAACCCTGGGGCCCCTGGCTGATCCATGGGAAAAAGGAGGGGAAGGTGTGAGGCCAACAGGGAGGTCAGGCCAGGTAGTTTCCAGGTGTTTCAGAGGCTTAGAGCTTGTGCCTCACCCAAACCCAGGTGGCACAAGGTCCTCCAGGTGGGAGAGGGGTGCAGTGTTGTGTCCTTCTGTGTCTGCCCCCTAGGGGACAAATCTGAGAAGTCTTCAGGGACTGAAGGAACCAAATCCTGGCCTCAGGAGCTGTTTTTTCACAGGGCCCTGAATTCACAGGTGAGGAGGGAAGGAGGGGCCAGCATCCTGAAGACCAGGTAGCCTTTAGAGGGGCTGAGTGAGTCTTCAGCAGTGCAGAGGGGGCCGGTATCCTAGGGCCTTTCTCATTAGCTGCTCAGGCCAGTGGCACTGCATCTCCTCTTCCTCTGGCTGCAAGAGCCACTCTGGACCTGGCTGCCCACATCTTTCCGTGAAGGGCAGTGGGGACAGTCCTCGGCTTCTGGGATGAAGAGAGGAGTTGAGCGAGGTCCAGCTGTGAGCTTATTCTGGGGAGTTTCAGACAAAGGGACAGCAGGTGGGGGAGGGAAGGGCTCTGGGCACGGGCAGACTTAGTGAAAGAAGGAAGGAAAGGACAGGGAGCAGGGTCTGAGCAGATGCTGCTGATTCTCAAGGGCCCAGACGTCATCACACTAAGTGAAGAGCAGAAGAGATGGAGGAGTCCGGAAATGACACAGAGCATCCAGCCTTTGTCCTACATTGGGGGAGAGAGCCGGCATGACTCTCAGCACCTCGTTACCATTTCTGCTACAGCCACCAAAGGCTCACCCATCATCACTGGGGTTCTCTTCCCACTAGATAACTGAAAGGGATGGTTTGTTCCTGAACAAGGCCCTCCAGTCAAATCTCTAATGTAGGAGAGAAAATAACTGAGCGCCCCCTGGTAAAGGCTAGAGGAGGAGAGATACTTGCAAATAATCACTCTGGTGTCTGACCTAGAGACCTCAGACCTCTATCTTGAATAGTCATGTCCAGTTATGCCTGGATCAGAGCCTAGGACCTTCAAGTGAGCAAGAAATGTAAATGGAGAGTGACAGCAGGTGGTTTTACTCAAGTGATTCACAACTGAATCATAAGGAATACTGTATGAATGTACTCTTCAAGTTATTCAGTGCACAACCTGTACAGCTGTTTATGATGACCTGGGACATAACTTTTTAGGACAAGGATGGAAGTGAATCCCTTCAAGAAGCATAGAGAAAATTTTTTAAATCAATGGGTGTTCTGCATCCAGCAAAAATCTAGGATCAGTCAGGATGGAGAGATAAGTAGATACAATGACTTCCTGGTTGGGCCTCTTACACAACTGAGAGAAGAGTATATTTATGCTGAGAGTGTATTTATCAGCCCCAATTGCTCTTAAAATAAATATCATTAAATTAGGGAGTATGTTATCTATACTATTTCAATTCTTCTACAATTTAGAGGTTGATCTTACTTCAATATCTTGCATCTTAAATTCAACTAGGTGACCATTAAAATCTGCTGATGGATATTTTGGTTAAGTCAAGAGGCTATAAACTGAGTGTGGTGGCACATGCCTGTAATCTCAACAGTCTAGGATGCTGAGGCAGGAGGATCACAAGTTTGAACCCAGGGCAACTTAGTGACTTAGGGAGACCTTGTATCAAAATGAAAATTAAAAAATGGGCTGGGGCTAATACCCACTACAGACAGAAATATATATATACACATACATAATATATACTATATATACAGAGAGAGAGAGAGAGAGAGAGAGAGAGAGAGAGAGAGAGAGAGAGAATCTGCCAAAAAATGTATAGATCAGGAAAAGAAAAACTTGTATGAATATTTTAACATTAAATGTATTGAGACATCCTGAGATTAATACAAGTTATCTTTGGCCTCTACAATTACAAGAGGTGATCAAAGTGGTGGCCATTGGCTTCCAGATATTTATTAGTACTGTGAACTGCTGACGTGTGCATACATTTTTTTGGCAGTCTCTCTCTCTCTCTAAATATATATATATATATTATATATATATATATTTTTTTGTACCAGGGTTTGAACTTGGGACCTTGCGCTTGTGAGGCAGGCACCGGAACCACTGAGCTAAATCCCCAGCCCTCTAAATATATATATATTTTTTAACTTGCTTGAAAAGAATAGAGGTTTCTCTGAAATTCAAACATCTCCCCTAGAGGGAGAGAGAGTGTCAGATCATAAATCATATCTCCAAACCTAGAAACCAAAAAGTGGCAGTGAAATAGAAAGGGACTGACTAATTTTTAAAAGTTTATTTCCTATAACCCAGGAGTTAAGAGAAGCTCATACAACAGAATGGATGACTGAAAGCTAGACACGAGGTGTGGTTAGAACAGTATGTTTTAAACTTGGCTACACATTATCATTATTGGAATAGTTAAAAAAATTTTATTTAAAGATTTTTTAAAAAGTCAACACTAGGGTCCCTTTCCAGACAACTGAGTAGGATATCTCAGGGTGGGGGCCAGGCATGATGCTTTTAAAAAGCACCCCAGCCCCCAGGTGATTTTCAGCAGCCACTAGGACTGAAGTCTGAGTCTGAGCCCCATGGGTGCTGTCAGCAGAGGATGTGGGGAAGCTGCTGTTGCTTTGTAAGTGGTTCAGAAGAGGGGAGCCCTGGGCTGGGGATTTAGCTCAGTGGTTCCGCCACCTGTCTTGTAAGCGTAAGGTCCTGAGTTCGATCCCCGGTATGGGGAAAAAAAGAAGAGAAGAGCCCTGTCTCTCACTGCTGAGGAATCTGACTGTTGATTAAGCAGATGTTTATTTTGAAGTAAAAAGTACTGATTAGTAATTTACCAAGAACTAGTTTATGCAAAACTGGCTGAATGGCAATAATTGTCAAATTTTTTTTTTTAGGATTAAATATAGCTGTTGACTCCTTTATCAGGTGGCGATGTTCCCTGAATATAACGATGATAATGATAATAATAATAGTAATAATAACAATAATAATAATAATAATGGTGCTTTTTGCTAACAGTGGCCCTTGGAGGATAATGGTCCAGGGTCTTTTTTCTTTTTCTTCTGGTAGGTACGGTGATTGAGGCCAGGGCCTTCACACTGAGCTGCATCCCAGCACCCCCCCCCTTTTTTATTTGTACTGGGGATTGAACTCGGGATCTTGCGCTTGTGAGGCAGGCGGTGGAACCACTGAGCTAAATCCCTGGCCCCTTAGCCATTTTCAGTTTTTATTTTGAGATAAGATCTCACTGAATTGCCCAGGCTGGGCTTGAACTTGTGATCCTCCTGCCTCAGCCTCCGAGATGCTAGGATCACAGGTGTGCATCACCACACCTAACTTCTCCTGGGATTTAAAAAAGCCCCAATGCCAAAGTCCACAGAACTATTTCAGTAAGACTCCATGGGGGTTGGTCCTAGGGGTCACAATGCTTTTAAAGCTCAAGACCCCTACCATGGATTTCTACTGATAATTGAGTAGACTGAGGGCTTGCCTGAAAATTTGAATCAGAGTAACTCTGATTCTACAGCCTCCTTCTCTCTTGACTCCCTGGAAATCTGGTGATGGCTTTTCAACACCAGCAACTTCTATTATGTTCAAGAGAGCATTTCTTATTTAGCCAAGTGTGTTAAATGAGTGTACTGAGAGCCTGACTCGTGGTTTACCTCACTTAGTGGAGGTAGGCGAATGAATTAACCTCTGTGTTCCAGTTTTAAATGGGGGTGACTATCAACCTGACTACCAAAATGATGGGGGAAAAACCATGGGAAGGAAAGCCCTGGTGAAATCTATATGATCAGAAAAAGGCTGTTCTTACAACAAAAGAGATAAGTTTCACTGTCACCTGCTTCTACCAACTTTAGACTGCTGAAGATCTGAGCCTTGTTGTGACTTATGATAACAGTATCACATTTTTGCCTCGGTTATCAGGTTGGGAAGGAGTTGCTCAGAATGGAGTTACCCACTGGCATGCAGAGGTCCAGGCCATGGTTCTTGGGGCCACTATAGCCCAGTGGAAATACAAGGAATGATAAAAATATAATGATTATTCAAATAAAAATAAAAAAATTACAGTAAAAGACACATTGCCATAAACCCTCTCAAAATACTCCACTAGCTTGGAACATACTTATTCTGTCATTCTTGCCACTTTCTGAAGCATTTCTGGAAGTCCTCTTTCCTGAGGCTGCCTTGATGTCTTGAATCAGTTCAAAATATTTACAGCAATTTCTGTCAAATAAAAACATTATGGTGTGTCTTTAGCCACCTTGTTCACTGGATCTGGTACCATGTGACTTCTGGCTCTTCCCCAAAGTCAAAATAACCATGAAATGTAAATGGTTTGGATCAATTCAAGACATTGAGGCAGCCACAACAGTGCAACTAAAGACACTCACAAAAGAGGACTTCCAGAACTGCATCAGAAAGTGGCAAGAATGAAGGGATAAGTGTGTTGGAAGCAAGGGGAAAAATTTTGAGGGAGATATAGTTTTGTCTTTTACTGTAATAATTAAAAAAATTTATTGTATTTTAAAAAATGTTAAATTCACTGTATTTTGTGATCACACCTCATATTGTGCCCTGTGCAGTGAGGATTATTTATCCTCTGTTTTTGGAGGCCCACAGTGTCCTCAGGTTTTGGCTCTATGTGTGGGCAGAGGCTGACGGTAAGGAGGGGAAGAGTAGATGGATATCCAGCCTCGTGCCTGCTTATGTGTACATACTATATATGTGGGAAGTATACAGTGTATTTACATCATGGGAGGGTATATACTGATGTGTTAATTTGCATTATACTATGTAATTTATGTAAATCCCAAACCCTTCCTTGTGTGCCATGTAAGGGCTATTGGAGGCTCTTTGCTAAGCAGGGTTTACCTGGGAAGCCTGGCAATGGTAATCTCTTCCCTAGGACTTATTTCTTCACTTTTGTGTCTCAGGAATGAAGTCTTTCTATGAACAGCTTCAGAGAGAAGGTGGGGATCAGAGTGTTGGGGCAGTGGAGACAGCAAACTAGAGAACATGAGCTTCAAGGCAACTGGGTAACATCTGACATTCAAGAGATGTCATTGTGGCACAAGCCTTGGATGGTCCCCAGAGTGACGGGTAGATGCTAATCATCTCAGTTTTGGGGTGCCTCCAAGCAGAGGACCCCCAGGTTCCTCACCCATCCCACCAGCTGCCTGGCCCACAGCAAAGAACTAACAGCCTCCCGAGTGATGGATGCCCTGAGAAACCTGCCCTGGTTCTGGCCGCCCTGCAGCCACAGATGCCATTGCTGAGTGACAAGTTCTCTGGTGTTTTCTGGAGGGCAAAAAGAACCCAAACTCCACTTAGACTTAAGCTTGGAGGCCCCATCCCCATAGGCTTCCTTCTGCATAGTGCAAGGCAGTGGCCCTCAAAGAGTCCCCTCCAGGGACAGAGGGGTATGTCCATCATACCACATACTCACCCTGAGATTAAACTTTCTTTGAAGTCTCAAGCTTTAGCTTAAAAATTCAAGTGCACTTTGCACTCTACTCATACAATAGTCATTGGCTTGCTAGAAAACTATTCATCAGCCTACTTATTTAACAACTTTTTTCTCCTAAACCCCCTTGTTAACTAGATGCTCTGGAAAGATGTGCTGTTTGTGCTGTGGCTTCTGTCCCTGATGTCTCTGTCACTTCCTCCTTCCCACTCTGAGAAGCTTGAGCCTCAGCTGGCCTCACTCACCTCCTTCTGCCTGTGGTCCCCTCTGCAGAGGAAGTAGTCCAATGGCTGATATGGGTCTTACCTATGTTACAGTGCTCCCCAGTGTCAAAGGGACACAGACATATGACATGTCCCTCTGTCTCCTGGCAGGTGGCAGTGCCACAGGGCTTCTCCACACAGGACCTGGCAGGGCTGCAGGTCCCAGGGGAGAGGTTAAGGATCAAGAATACAGCTGCCCAGGGACTGCGAAGCTCTCAGCATAGTGGGAGGCATGAAGGGTCCCCATACAGAAAGCTAAGAAAGAACAGCTACTGGGGCCTGGGATCACAGGCAGTGAGACAGTCACAATAGTAGAGTGGATTCTCTTCCCAGGATGGGGTGGGGACTCTGGGTCTAAAGCCACGCCGCAGCCAAATGACTGTACTTCCTTGAATTGTGCAGGTTTTAGCCCTACACAAAATAAATATTTGGACCTAAATGTCATCAGCAGATTCACTCTCTCATCTCGCACTCACTCTGGGGCATGGTGCCTGAGCAGAATTTTCAGCATTATCTAAATAATCATCCTCCCCTTGCCTGGTGCCAAGTACAGAGGTTGAGTCTAAACAGAAACACTCACGGTGGGTAATTCCACTGCAGTGATAAGAGGCACTAATCTTTATAAGTGTGCAGCCTGTGCAAAGTAGGATGCTAAATGCTTGCTTTTTGTATATTTATATTTTGTTTAGGCTTCCTTGGGACTTTTCTTACTTTACAGATGAGGCTCAGAGACTTGTCTGAGATTGCACAGCTGATCTGTGGTGGATCTGTGCTTGTACCTCCTTCTATACTACAGCTGCCTACAGTTTGACTGGCCCAACTGCATTAAAGGAAAGAATCCTGACAATACCTGCAATGGTGCTTTCTGCTTCACCGGATCCCTCCGAAGAAGTGGGAACAGCAGCGTCTGTGGGGAAGGTGGCCGTTTCGGCTGTGTGGGTCTCTCCTCCCGAGTACAAAGGGCTGGAGAACTCCATTTCTAGATGGACCTCTCCAGGGTGCTTGGGCTGCTGGGTCCACTGGGTCTCTGGGGCGCTGGTGCTGATGGTGACATCCATCCCTGAGCTGTGACCAGACAGGTCTCCGCTACTTTCAGTCCTGTCTCCAGAAGCCACGGGAGTGGCCAAAGGTGCACCCGAAGCCTCTGTGATCACTTGAGAGGTGGTGGTTGACTCCCCCCTGACTTCTGGGGCAGCTGACCCCTCCTGGGGGCCTCCCAGAAAGGTCCAGGGGCTGCTGCTCACACCCAGGCCTGAGGCTCTATCAAGATCTGCTTCGTGGAGGGCAGAGGTGGTTTCACTTGAATCAGGGGACCCAGACGCCTCTCCACTGGCCTCAGGGACAGCAGGTGCCCTCACACCAGCCTCAGGGTAGGCAGAGGACTCACTGTTGCCTTCCAAGACTGACGATGCTTCTACTCCAGAGCTGGGAAATGTTGCTGTTGTCCCACCAATGTCCCCAGATGCAGAGGCTTCCCCACTGGGCTCAAAAAGCTGGGGTTTGTATGTCACAGGGGGTCTTTGGCCGAATTCCTGGGAAACAGTTGCTTCCATCACACCCTCCACTAACTCAGAAGTGATTAACGTGACTTCTGGAAGTCCTGAGGCCTCCCTGCTGCTGCTGGTGGCTGCAGAGGAGTCTCCACTTATATCAGCAGTGCTGGAAAAGTCCCCACTAAAATATGGAGTACTTGGTGGCTCTCTGCTGGGTTCTATCACCCCAGACTGGAGTCCACTTTGGTCCAAAATTCCAGAATGGTCTCCAGACACTTCTGGTGCTCCAGAATGAGCACCACTAAGTTCCAAAATGCCTGAAGACCCCTCTCCAGCTTCTTGGGCTGTTGGATGCTGGGTTACAGATTCCACCAAGGTTCTGTCTATAAGAGAGGTAGTGGGGAACCCGGATGGAAGTCCACTGCCATCATATGCTCCTGAAGGCAGGCTGCTCCCAGCCTCAGCTCCAGAGAATTCTCCACTGACCTCAGATGCTCCACTCGGTAGGCCACTGAACTCTGGAGCTGGGGATATAAACCCACTGGAACCGATTGTTCCAGAAGACTGTCCACTGATGTCCACTACCCCAGATGTGCCTGACAGATCCGTCTCCCTAGAAGGAAAGCCACTGAATTCCACAGACCCTAAGCCTTCTTCTTCTTTAAATGTAGTAGGGGTCACTTCCACCAAACTGGTGTCCACAAATGTAATGCCAGAAGATTCTCCACTGCCACTCATGGTACCAGAAAACAGGTCAGGGATTCTGGGTGTTGTCCCACTGAACTCAGGCAGCCCTGATGGCTGTCCACTGAGATCAGGCCCTGTGGATGTTTCTCCACTCAGGTCTGTTATGCCAAATGTTTGGCCACTGCCAAAAAGAACCCCAGATGCTTCTCCACTGATATCTGGTTGTATGGAGGGGAGTCCACTGAGCTCAGTCACTCCAGATGTCTCCCCACTGGAGTAAGGAATCTCTGAAGGCTGCCCACTGACCTCAGAAATCCCAGATGTTCCCCCACTGATGTCAGGAAACCCCGACGGCTGTCCACTAACACCAAAGAATCCAGATGTTTCCCCACTGATGTCAAGAGATCCAGATGCTTGGCCACTGACTTCAGTTCCCAAAGGGAGTCCACTGGTTCCTCCACTAATGTCCAGCTCTTCAAAGGGCAGCCCAGATATTTCTCCAGTGCCACTGATGCCAATGGTCCCCCTCCCTTCCAGTTCACTTGCACTGGTGGCTGTGAACACTTCCACCAGTGTAGTATCTACTAGGGAGACTGTTGGGAACCCAGATGGAAGTCCACTAAAGTCAGGCAGGCCAGAGGATGGGCCACTTCCAAAGTCCACTCCAGAATACTCACCACTAAATCCAGAGGGAAGACCACTTTTGTCTGGAGCTTGTCCACTTCCTACAGTTTCAGAAGGCAGTCGGCCAAAGGCCAAGTCTCCAGAAGCAGACCCTACCAAGTCTTCTTTTCCAGAAGGCAACCCACTGAGGTCCTCTTCTCCAAAAGCTGAGGTCTCTAAACTCTCTCTTCCAGAAGAAAATCCACTGAGGTCATCCCCTCCTCCAGAAACAGAGGTTTCTAGACCTTCTCCAGAAGGAAGTCTGCTGATATCCTCTACTCCAGAGGCAGAAGTCTCTAGACCTTCTTCTCCAGAAGGAAACCCACTGACATCCTCCACTCCAGAGGCAGAGGTCTCTAGACCTTCTCTTCCAGTAGGAAGCACACTTATATCCTCTATTCCAGAGGCTGAAGTCTCTAGATCTCCTGAAGGAAGACCACTGAGATCACCTACTCCAGAGGCAGAAGTCTCTAGACCTCCTCCAGAAGGAAGTCCACTGACTTCTACTCCAGAGGCAGAAGTTTCTATATCTCCTCTAGAAGGAAGCCCACTGACTTCCCCTACTCCAGAGGCAGAAGTTTCTAGACCTTCTCCTATAGTAGGAAGTCCACTGATTTCCTCTGCTCCAGAGGCAGAAGTCTCTAGACCTTCTCCAGAAGGAAGTCCACTGACTTCCCCTACTCCAGAAGCAGAAGTTTCTAGACCTTCTCCTCTAGAAGGAAGTTCACTGACTTCCCCTATTCCAGAGGTGGAAATCTCTATATCTTCTGCAGAAGGAAGCCCACTGACTTCCCCTACTCCAGAGGTATAGGTCTCTAGACCCTCTTCTCCTGAAGGAAGTCCACTGACTTCCCCTACTGCAGAGGTAGAGGTCTCTAGACCTTCTTCTCCTGAAGGAAATCCACTGACTTCCCCTACTCCAGAAACAGAAACTTCTAGACCTTCACTTCCTGAAGGAAGTCCACTGACTTCTCCAATTCCAGAGGCAGAAGTCTCTGGAACTTCCCTTCCAGAAGGAAGCCTACCGAGGTCCCCTACACCAGAGGCAGAGCCCTCTAGGTCCTCGGCTCCAGAAGGCAACCCAGCAACAGTAGGAGTGCTGGACCACTCAATTCTGTCTCCATGTCCCGAGGGCAGACCTGAGCCTACTGTGGAGGTGAGACCACTGGAGTCAAGGTCTCCAGAGGGCAGTCCGCTTGCAGTGGCTCCTGGAGCTTCTCCACTGCCTGTAAAGTCGCCACTGATGTCAGGGGCCTCAGATGCCTCCCAGGAGCCTGGCAGCTTGGTAGCACCAGGCACCTTGGAAGAAGGTGTGTATGGCTCCTCTGAGGTGGAAGGCGTTTCCCAGGCGGAGGACACTGAAGTTGCCCCAGGGCTCACTGTACTTTCCTCTGCTGCTGTGCCCGTGGGAGGCCACGTGGGTGGGACCCCTGCAAGAAAGGAGGAAGCCAGGTGAGGTGTGGGTGGAGTGACTCCACTCCAGGGTAAGCCTGGGCAGGAACTGAACTCCACCCTTCCTGGGGAAACCTTTCCCCCAAGGGTACATCTGTATTCAGATGCTCTGCAATGGAATTGCTTAAATGTCTTGGGGAAAAAGAGAGGAAGGAAGATAGGAAGAAAATGAGGTTTCTTTTCTTCTTTTTATTTTATTTTTGGTACCGGGATCGAACTTGGGTCCTTGTGCTTTCAAGGCAGGCGCCAGAACCACTGAGCTAAATCCCCAGCCCTTCTCTTCTTTTTTTGAGACAGGGTCTCACTATGCAGTTCAGGCTGGCCTCACACTTATGAGGATCCTGCTGTCTCAGCCTCCTGAGTGCTGGGATTACAGATGTGCACCACCATGCCCAGCTAGGAAGAAAAGGAAGGAAGGAAGGAAGGAAGGAAGGAAGGAAGGAAGGAAAGAAGGAAGGGAGGAAAGGAGGGAGGGAAGCAAGGAAAGGGAAGGGAAGGGAAGGGAGGGGACCAGGAAGCTATCAGGTTGTGCTTTGTGAGACCCGAGGGAACTACGTCCACACGGCCCACTGGATATGGGCTGCCACTGATGACAGCCGCAGCTACCCTTCAAGTGCATTATCATCTCCTGCACCTAAATCTGTGGTTTTCAAAGCCTAGGCCCTGGGCCAGCATCCCCTAGGAGGTTGATGGAGATGCAAATCCCCAGTCTCTGTCCCAGCCTTGCTGACCCAGAAGCTCGGAGGGTGAGACCTGCCTATTTCAGTTGGTGCTGTTTGTTTTGTAATTCTCTTTCTTTCTTTCTTCTTATTTTCAGCACGGGGAACTGAACCGGAGGCCTTTGCACTGAGCCCCCCAGCTCCCTCTCTTCATTCTTATTTTGAGGCAGAGTCTTGGTAAGTTGCAGAGTTGCCTCGGCTGAATTTGCAATTCTCCTAACTCAACCTGCCAGATGCTGGGATTACAGGCTTAATTACATCTGGACTCCCACTTCAGGTTGTGCTGTCTGTAAACATGCATTTGCTTTTTTCAATTCTGAGAGCCTTATAATAGAGGATTTGAAAATAGAGAAAGAAAGGGAAAACCTCACCATGCTAAAAATCATGGTAAATAATTCTTTTAGCAGTTTTCTTTGGCATTTAGAAAACAACTAGCTGGATCTTGAACCTTGCTTGTACTTTGGGGCTTATTTTCCAGGTACACCTGAGGGCTGGAGGGGCTGGGGAGGCTTCCAGTCCCCCTCTAAGTTGACTGTTGGAGGGCATGAGGAGGGAAGGATAGCTGTAGGGGCTATGTGAGTTTAGTGGGATCCAGAAAAGCATGGCTATGCATTAAAAATATGTATGAGAAACAGGATGCCATGACCACTCAAAACCATTATCTAATAGTTCTGTTAAATACATTTAAATGATCTTTTAAAAACCAAAGCAATTGAAAGAAAAAGTCACAGTGTGAACAATAGCATAGATGGCCCCAGATGTGGCTGAAACCAGCAAGGTGGTCAGGAACTGAAGTTAAAGATGTGTGCTGAGCATTGTGCCGCTGGACAGCTCCCCACAGAAGGTGGCCCGAGTCCTGTGCTGGGCTAGCCTTCTGCCATGCAGACAGGACTCAGCTGCGCTTGCCCTAGTGAAGGGTGAGGAAAGGGGCATGGACCAAGGGCCAATGGCTGCTGGGCAGTGTCCTGGGCCCAGAATCCTACCAGCTCTACAGATGCCTCCTCTCCTTCATCATGGAAAGAGGGAGGCTTTGCATTCCTAGGACCTGGAGCAGGGCCTGGCACTGCCAAATGACTTGAGGGCCATGAGTGGGATGAATGGCTGGGTGGATTGGTGGGAAGCGCTGAGACATTTTCCTTCCCACGCGTATGTCCCCGGCTGCTGATGCTACTAGGCACACACATTACTGTGCATTGCTTTCATTCCATAACCCAAGCTGAGGCCACTAGATATTAATAATACTCTGTGAAAAAAAACACAACTTTTTTGGGGGGCATACTGGGGATCAAACTCGGGACCTTGTGCTTGCGAGGCAGGTGGCGGAACCACTGAGCTAAGTCCCCAGCCCCTAAAACCACCCCTCCAAAAAAACCGAAACCTGCCCCCCCAACTTTTAATGGCCCTATGATCAGGTTCTTTTAGGATCTACTGCATACTTACACTGCACATTACCCTATCCAAGCCTCTGAGAAAGTCCACAGTGAGGAAATCTGTAGATCTTTTGGCAAGCCAACATTTCCCAAACTTCAGTGGGCACAAAACACTTCCAGCAAGGTTTGGGGACTGTGGCTTTCATCTCATGAAGTCCTTTCTGATTTAATCAAGATATTTAGGGTTTAGGAAGTTCTGGCTAGGCCTGGCCCAGAGGAGGGACATGGAAGGAGAGAAAGGTGAGGGGAGAGATTCAGACTTCTAACTACCCTGTCCCTGTTCTTGCCCCTCTATTGGAGATCCTCCCATAGGGAGATTCAAAAAGTTAGGAGAGCCAGGGATTTAGCTCAGTGGTACCGCTGCCTGCCTTGCAAATGCAAGGTCCAGAGTTTGATCTCTGGTACCAAAAAAAAAAAGGTTAGGAGAAGGTGTCTGTGTAGGAGGACAGTGTTACTGAGCACCTCTGATTGGCCCAGGGCTGGCCACTGAGGGGTGTGTGCAGAAGAAATAAAGGAAAGGGAGCAGAGAGAATGTGTGTGTGTGTGTGTGTGTGTGTGTGTGTGTGTGTGTGTTATGAACAAGGCTATCCCTATTACTCTGGGCCAGGTCCTAGAGGCCAGCTAAAGTGGTCAAAGTTTCCCTGGTAGCACATCAGGCCAGTGTCAGGGCTGGGGACACAGGTCAGGTCCCAGGGAGAAAAACCACCTGACCATGTACACCACAGGGAGACAGGGCTGTGTGGCTTCAGGACATGCCTGGAGCCCTGGCACACTGACCTGGCAGAGGGGAGGAGCCCACTGCAGTGTAGGCCGGTTCCCATTCCGTCTGGTTTTCTGGCTTAGTGGTGAAGTCTAGAACTGCAGTTGTCTCCTCCCTTAAGGGAATAACTGCCACACCAGGCACCGCTTGGGTGATGATCCAGTCCTCTACACCTGCAAAGGGTGTGGGTGTGCCACCCTCCTCTTCTCCCCGAGAGGGCGCCACTGGAACACCTAAAGGGGATGTGGTGGTCAGGAGACTTGGAAAGGAGCCAGGGCCTCTGGGGTGGGCCAGGCTGTGCAAGAGCCTTCTAGCCACCCCATCCATCAGCAGTTCAGTGAGATGGCTCTATGCCCTCTCCATTAATGAGACCTATTTGCATCAAGTACACAATCTTATTCCCATTTTACAAATGGGGAAATTGAGGCATGGTGCTACATTTATTGCCCAGGGCTAGTGACTTAGAAGTGGCAGAGCTAATCTTTGAATTCAAGCATCTGGTGCAACATCCACATTCTCAGCTACTGTAGAATATGGTCTATCTTGGGAACAGGGATTGTGGTCAGAGGGTGTCAGGACTAAAAGCAGGAGGGTGATATTTAAATTCCATGCAGCCATCCTGGCATTTGGAGGGGTAAAGGCAGGATTCATTGACTGGGGTAACTGTTCTGGTTCGGGGTGTGTATGTGTGTGTGGGGAGGCCTGCAGAGTGGGGGAGATAAGGAAGGAAAGGGAACTTTTCTGCAGGATAATCCAGGAAGCAGAGTCCACTGAGTGTCAGGGTGGGGCATGGGGCTTCTGGCAGGGAATTTACTGGGAGATTGATTAACTGGGTTCTGTTGCCCAGGGCACAACTAAGGCCTCATCAAATCCCCTGGGAGGAGACTGGGAAGCTTCTTTAGGCTGGTTGATTGGGGTGGCATTCTGATTGGGTTTAAAATGTGACCCTAGAAGTTTGGGAAACTTGGGGGCCCTCAGGGTTTTGTGTTTTTTTTTTGGTACAGGGATTTGAACTCAGGACCTTGCACTTTCAAGGCAGGTGGTGGAACCACTGAGCTAAATCCCCAGTCCCTCCTCAGGGTTTTTATTTCCCTTAACATTATCTGGAAATGATCATAGACTCAGAAAGTTGCAGTGACACTCAGCTTTGATGTACAATATGGAAAATATAGCCCACATTATTCTACATGGATATTCTGGCCTGTGCACCCAACCCCTACTCATCCAATCAGAGCCCAGCAATGCCTTAGCCCCGCCCTGGCCCTGCACATGATAAAGCTTGATGACATCACTCTCAGATGTCTAAGGGGTAATGATGGTTGATACATCAGTGTTGCCCTAGCCTGGGCCAATAAAAACATTGTTGAGTAAATACTTTCTTGGCTAAGCTCATCACCAAAATATTGACAATCAGGAGAGAATTTGAGAAATTATAGCAATCTATCTATCTATCTATCTATCTATCTATCTA